ATGGCCAATTGAAAACGTTGAATGTTAGAAATTAGACCCTAATTTTCAGCTATAATGAGTTTGACAACTCCGGTTTATATAAAAAAGTAGCTTTGTACTTTTTCATAGCTCATAACAACCAAAAGTTATTCATTGTTACATTAATTTATTTAAAAATATTGAATAATTTCGTATGCCTATTATTAAGATTTACTTTTCACCTACAAATTAAGGGATTAGATGGAAACAATATGAAAAAAAGTCAAGAGACAGAGGGTAGAATCCATTCGCATTGTACATAAAAACAAAATATTGTAATAATTAATATTTATTAATGTATCTATAATCAATATATTTGAGTATTTTACTAATAAGTATGTGGTATTATAAATTAATTTATCTAAAGATATATCACAGCCAAGACAAATCGTATTGTAAGTACTGTATGTACAACAATCACGCATGACGTTACTGCCTGTTCCTAACGTGGTTGTACACTTCGTGCGCTGTGCCCGCGGCGCCAAGCACACCTAGACCCTTTTTCTGAAACAAAGATTAGAAAATACAATGCCTATTTATTTTATTTAAACTAAATTATTTTGATATATCCACTTATTGAAGAGTACTTTAAAAAATAACAAAAATGAGCCTAATTATTAAAATCCTAATTATATTTCTTTGTTCTCATGTATTTGTACGAGTATAAGTAATAAAAAGAAAATAAGTAAAAAATATATATGCATATTTTTTTTTCATTTGTTTTTTATATTAATCTCCTATTGAGATAGTTACAAATTTCAAAAATAACTAATGACCGTGCAGAAGGAGTAATTAATAATAATTCTTAATACATGATTAAGTAAATAATGTAAAAATTCACTCACAATAATTTTGCCGCCCTTCTTAATAGCGCCAATGGGCACCTTAGGGTCGGCTTGACCAGCGCCAACAAACAGCGCGAGCACCGCCATGATCATGAGAAATAGACCGATCAGCTTCATGGTTGGTAACGAGGAGTAAGGAGTTCACTAAGTATTAAGTCCTGCAACTGTACACAATGAAGGTGTCACAGTGAATGTACTGCATCAGTAAAAGCAGCCGTTTAAATAGAACATAAGTTTTCCTGTTCCTATTGTATGCTCTATCACTTAAATGGGTTTGTCCGTGGTTTATCCCATCCATACGCGTTTTAAATAAAAATAAACAGGTAACTCCGAAACTCTAAGCAGTGATAGTTTAGGCAACCCCTGCTGATTAGGATTTTTAAATAATATTCGTTATTATAATTTTACAGAAAAATCTCACTTATCTAATTTAAATACTTAAATCTAACTTAAATTATATGTATGTATATATATAATTGTATGTCTATTATCCCTGAATCTTTAAATATCATTAAAATTATGATTACATCTACTCATTTATTGACATTTCATTAATGAATTTGTTCAAACACTGATATTTGAAAGTAAAATTTTTAATTAACGCGTCATGTACTAAACCCAAACATTAGGTAAAATGTCATAAGTCACAACATACTCATAAAACCTGGCGGTGATTTATTACCTGTTAATTACCCTTAATAACCTTACCTTACCATATAATCCTGATAGAGTGTTTTAGTATTTTTCTTTTAAAGGATGTGAAAAATTGGGAATAATTGCTATAATTCTGATAGAGCGTTTTTGTATTTTTCTTTAAAAGATGTAAAAAAATTACAAAGTGTAATAATACACATTAAAAAAACTACTGAACAGATTTATATAAATGTTGGTACTCGGTAAAATATATCCTAATTTAGCACATTTATCTACTTACGCGGAAGAAGCCGTGAGATATAACTAGTCATAGATAAAACAATAATACTTGGTATAGTAACGCAGTGTTTATACCATACTTGTGTCAGGCGTAATCTAATATTCTGTAGGAAAAGTACGTTAGAACTATGGATGATAAATTCATATCTAAAAACTACGCTTTTGTCGGTAAAATATTTTGCATTTTTCTCTACTCCCTGGTATCTCATTACAGATTACCTACGACACAGACGACTTACACTCTTTATTTATGAAACCTCGTTCATATTACGTACATACCTAAATAAAGTTCTTATAAAATGTAATCCATTAGGTACTAATGAAAATAATAAAGATTCTATATTTATTACTAATTAGCTGTTACCCGCGACTTCGTCCACGTAGCCGAGATATGTTTCTGACCGGGATACGAAATATCCTTCTCCATTCCATATAGTACGTACTTACCAAATTTCATAGTGACTAATTAAGTTGTTAAGACACTATAATCTAACAAAAAAACATACTTTCACGTTTATATTAATAAAGATTAGTAGATAAATAAAAACAATATCCACTGAATTCTTTATCGACAAATATATCGTGTAACATACAAAAAAATTGGCCATTGAATTGAAAACCTCCTTTTTAAAAAGGTTATAATAGAATAGTAATCCCATTTATGTTATAGGTTTACACTAGCTGAATATCGACAAAGAGTAACAAAAAAGAATGAAGGCAAAATTACCAGATTTATTGTGACAAATTCATCAAAAATAAAAGGGTCATTTCTAACGAGTAAGAAGTTATGCCGGTCATTCAAAACATTAGATGCACTGATTAAACCAAACTGAATTTTTGCGTCGTATATTGTTAGCAATGAGCAATCTAAAAGCCCAATTGCTAACAATATACCCTATCACGTCGACTTACATACAAAACGCATAGATAATCCACAATGGCTTCCTTGGAAACCATCGCGGATCCAACGAAGCCATCGTGAATCTACTTTTATCCTTATCTATCATCTCCCACTGCTGCCTCACCAAATTGGGTATTATGTCACAATTTTATATTTAAATACAATAAAATATACATTAGAAAAACACAGGAACTGTTTTTTCGACATTTCCACTGTTAGATAGCAAAGCGTCCACCATGTAGTCCGAGCATAGAATAGGCCACCCCTTCCGTTCCCATGGGTGTCGTAAGAGGCGACTAAGTGAGCTTAATGGTAGAGGGTTGGATAGCAGTGTCCTTCTGAAAACATCACTAAAAGCCTAATTGCGATAGTCAAACCGTTTAACAAGCGTGGCAACTACTGGCAAAACTCCCCTTCTGGGGAAGGCTTATGTTCCTTATTATTGGGGAAAGTTATGCTTATGAATGCAGTAGTCAGTTAACGGCTGATATGATGATATCAAAACGTACAGAAAACCGACACAATTTTGTAATTGGATAAAAGTGCAAAAGATAGAAATCGGAAATTGCATCTGACAACCCTGCTGTCAGCGCAAGCGCAACCATTCCAAAATTAGTAAATATAAACATTATTTATAAACGATAATTCGATGCTAATGATATTTGTTGAGAGATGTCATGAAAATTATGTCAATATTGGTAGACACTACGTAGGTATATTTCCCATAAACTATTCATTGAACTTGAACGCATTCTTCGTTCTTACAATGTCAAGGCATACTTATTATGTATAAACGGTGTCTGCTAAGTTATTTTTTAAGTTTAGTGTCATCCTACCTTCATCATTTGATGTAAGTATTTACCTACGCACTTACCTACTTATATGTATAAAATATGTAAGTACACTTTTTGCTATATTGAATAAAATATTTAAACCTAATATATGTGACAGTTCATAAAGGTATTCAAATATTTATTGCCTAAATGAATGAATTACTTAGATACACTCTTTGGCTATCATTAATTCAAATTTGTGAGAACAAACCCGCGAAATATGAGCCCTATTATAAGTTTAATATAAAAGTTTATAAAGATTTCTATATTTGTTGTGAATGGATTTAAACTTGGTTCACAAGGGAATAGTCACTAAATATATACCTACGGTTAAATTTAAGTCCAAGCACCGATATTTTTTTACTTTTTTTATTTTTCTCTTGCTATTTTTAAATGAAATAAATAGACTTCTATATATAATATAGTATGGGATCAATAGAGCATAGATATAAATTTGCAACATAAATCATTAAATTCGATTTATTTGTGGTGAAAATATCTTGTTATTTAAGTAAACAAACACATAATTAAGAAAGTCCCATTTTAAGACGGTTAAAAATCTGTTGTATGCCAACACAGAATATTTTGTCAATATACTAAATATAAATTAAGTTTATTAAATTTGATTCGAACAACAACTCTCAATCCAAACAATGTCTCATAAAGCAATAATTTATTAAATGGATTAGTTATAATATAAATTTTAAAGTTTAACAACAAATGCAAAATGTTATTGCTGATTAAGCAACAATACTTAAGTATTTAATAGATTATAAAGCTCACAAAGTTATGTTATAGTACTTTGTAATGATTACTTAATCAATCTAATTTTCTACAAATACCAGCTATTACTCGAGAATTTGCCTGCATGTATAGATAAAAATTTACGTCGTATATACTAACATATATATAGCACATTTTATACATTAACCGTATAAATAATAGAGAAACAAACGACTAAACATACAAATAAACATCTAAATAACTAAGCATCTTTACAAAATATACTCTGTTATGTCTATGCTACTGTTCATGTCCATAGGAGATGGTTACCATTTTCCATAGAGTGGGCCGTCAGCTTGTTTTGCCATTCTAAGTTGCATAAAAAATATTTTAATATTTAGGTTGATACTATTAGTAGAAGTTCAATAAAAGTTGTTTGATTATGAAATATAATAAATAAAACCTGCAAAATTATACAATCTTCTGTTGATATCAATATTATATTGTTTATCTGATTGAGATTTATAGCAATGCAATATACCTAACAGGTAATTAATTAGTAATTGTAATAAGATGCCTACACCACGCACGTGTGTGTATGAGGAAGCTTTATGGCAGATGGGTTTTCTAACAAATACAAAAATTCCAAATGTAACTTAACTGAATTACTCATGATATATACTACGAAATTGATCTTTCCACACACAATATAGTGTAATATTAGGTATTTTTAATTAATATAAAAACACATGTAACGCGTAAATATCATCAATCAATTCTATATATTTAAGTATCAACGTACTTTGAATTAAAACCTAATAAACATGAAGTTCTTTAATCTCGTATTGATGGTATTCGCCGTTCTGGCTTTAATGTTAAACGGTACTAATGCTGAGCCCAAAGGCATCGGCAGCGCTCTCAAGAAAGGCGGAAAAATTATTGTGAGTACCTCCCTATCTTTATTACTAATCCCACATATTAATTTTGAACTGTTACCAAAAAATAAGTAAAATTCTTTTTAATAAATAATGAACTAGGTCTGTACTTAGATTACAACGAATAAAAAATATAGGCATCACAGCGAACTTTGACATCCCTGGTTCTGTTAGCGCGTAGACAAAGCTTGTTTGCCATTCTATATTCCATATAAAAATCATAATGCAAGCACAATCTCTATACAAAAAAATGCGGTTCCTTTCTTCCATACTGTATTTGGTGGATTATATTATTATTATTATTATATCGGTCGTTAACTGTCCACTGATGGAGTGTTTTGACAGTAGTTGCCAGGCTTGATAGGCTAGTTGGTTTTTTTAATGCGTAAAAATGAATGGTGACCCCGCCTGCGCTATCGGCATACACTAGCGGGGCACCAGTGATTGATGATAGGCGAGGATGAAAGCAGATCAGTTAGCCCATCGTGACGAATCCACAAGAATTAACTACGAACGAATTACTACGAATTCCAGGGGGAACCGCGTGGAGGTCGACCTGATAGGATGTATTGTTAGCAATGGGGTTGTTAGACTCTATTATTAACAATCCTTTCCCCCTGGCGATCGCAATTAGGTTTTAGTGATATTTTAAGAGGAACTATTTTGCCATTTCTCGACTATTTGGATCCCTTAGTCGCCTCTTACGACACTCACGGGGAAAAAATGTGGTCAGGAGGTCACAGCAAGGTGGCGGATTTATAAAAATTGATATTTCTTGCCCTTATCCTAGTTATATACAAAATAACGATAAAAAAGTACAAACAAAACATTTTGTTTTAGGGTCTACCAACTAAATTGAAACTTAATTACATAATACCCGCGACTTCATTTTAGTCAATTCGTAAAGCTTACCACAAGAACACTACAGAGGCATAATAAATCCTATTTAAATATGTATTAATCCAGGAAAATCCGGGTGTTCCCAAGTTCAACCATAAGTTTGATCGCAAACATTTAAAGTTCTTCAGAAAGTTTTACATTGATATTAGTACAATAATATAACTTTAATCTCTTGCAGAAAGGCGGCCTCGGAGCATTAGGAGCCATCGGTACCGGCCAACAAGTGTACGAGCATGTTCAGAACAGACAATGATGAATTTTATTCATTATGTTATTAGTATTTATCATATGACATAATGGAACCAATCTTCAAGTCTACACCTATTTGAAATATATTTCGATTAATTGTAAAACCTAGATAAAAAAGGAATTTAATTATCAGTTTCCAGCCAGTTGTCTCAAATATTCAATACATTTAATTAATTAAATATCTATACATAGTTAATTTTTTTCTCTTATTCCGCCAGTCTCTTTTCCTTTTATTTTATTGAGATCGTAACATGTTGTTTTAATAAGAAGATTGTTATTCTCCATTTAAAAAAAAAATATTTACGAATTGCTAAAATTCTTTCGTCATCCTGGAATAAACAGAGAGAATGGATTTAGTCAAGAATGGAAATAAACAGGTCAAATAGATTTTTTTAATAAGTGAAAATGAAATGGTTACCCCGCACGCGCTATCGATATACACCGGCGGGGCACTAGTGGAAGGTGACAGGTGAAAATGAAAACAAGTCAGTTGGCCCACCATGATGAATTCGACAAGAATTAACGATGATAGTTTCCAGGGGGACCCGCGTGGAGGTGACCCGAGAGAGTCTATTGCTAGCAACGGGGTTATTAGACCTCATTACTAGCAATCCCTTTCCCTCCAACGAATAGGGTTAGGTAATTCAGATTATTGAAGTAACAGTGACACATACCCGAAATAACTTTGTAATCAGGTACATTAATTTCTATTGGAATAAGAATAAATATCTAATATTGCATACATAAGTATAAAACAGCACACGAGAGTTGAATTCAAGATTTTTGTATCACATGTAATAAATAGTTATTCGAAAAACAAGAACTACAGAGCCATCTACACAATGAACCTAATAATAACAAATCTGATAAGTAACACTTTATGTTATATAATAATATGCTTATATGTAATAAAAAAAAATCAAACAAATTTAAAAAGCATGTCAAGACATGCTTTTTTGCCATGTTTATTATTCTGTTTTTATTATGTACCATTCAATGTCAAATTAGACATTGATGATTTTTTTTTTTTTAGTACGTTTGTTCCGTTTGGAACAGGCTAAGGTCGGAGACCATGCTGCCTAGTCTTCAAAAAGATAATTTGTCTGGAATTTTATTTTTCTAATGTCGCTTCAATTATTGTCATAATCTTCAATATTTCATTTGTCAAATCCGGTAAGTACATTTTCATAAATATCTTTTCTTGAGTTTTCTTAAACCAGTGGATTTATCAAATTAAAAATAAATAATTATAAAAAATCATTGTCTTGCAATTCAATAAAAGTATTCTTATAGCTCCTTGAATGTTGTAGTAATATAAGTGAAAATAGCTTTGAAACAAGAAGGAAATCTTAAGAGAAGCGGGATTGAGTGCGGGATATTTTCGGGTTTTTTGAAGATAATCCTAAGTTCGTCAAACATAATGTGTCTTTGAATGACAAATTCAGAGCAATCAAAAAAAAGGTGATGTAGAGATTGGGCTGTATTTGAGTTACACCATGTGCATGATGGGGAAGCGATCATGCCCATTCGGTGCAGGTGTTCGTTGAAATGTCCGTGGCCGATTCGTAATCTACAAATATTGGTGTAAAATTTTCTGTTTGTGTCCTTTCCTTTGCAGAACCACGGTTTTCCAATACGCCAATTAATTTTGCGGTACCATTTGCCTTTAGTCTGTAATATTTGAGTCCAATGCTCCTCCCATTTAGTTGTAACGATTTTATGTATTCCAATACTACAATCTGAGTAACAAAGGGGTAAATCTTGAACACGAGCAGCACTTGAATTAATAATTTTAGCCAAAGTGTCTACTTGTTCATTCCCAAACACTCCAATATGTGAAGGGGTCCAGATGAAGATAATATCTTTTCCATATATAGTACAGAGATGATAATATTTATTACGAATTTCTTGAATTAAGTAGTTTGATGATGAAATGATTGTGTTATTTTTTAATGCCATAAGAACACTCATACTATCTGTAATTATAATCCATTTCGAATATAGTACCTGTTTTTCTATGTATTCTAATGCTAAAAATATAGCTTTTGCTTCTGCTGTGTAAATACTAGCCAAAGTTGAAATTTTATAACCGTGACCAAATCTATTAGACAAATCGTAAAAAGCCACTGAAGTGCTAAGTGCATTTTTGGAACCATCTGTATATATCTGCCTGTAGTCAATAAATTCTGATAAAGTCTCATACATATCGTGCTTTTCTTTTATGTCTTTATGTATAACAATTTTGATCTTACAGAACTTACTCTCATAAAGGCCATTATAACAAGGAAGTATCTTACTACTATAGATGTTATATTCATCTCGTAAATTCAAATCATTGATAATAGTTTTATTCAAAAACATAGAAATGGGGCAATTTAATAATTTGAGTATGAGTGGGTTATTGGAAACTGAAAAAACTTTGAAGAGAAATTTGAGTTTTAGGTATTCGAAACGAAGAAGGATAGGAGGCAAATTACATTCTACTTGCATTGAGATAATTGGAGAAGTATACATAGCACCTAAAATAAGTCTTAAATTCATATTTTGAATTTTTTCGAGTTTTTCTACTAATTTATGTTCTGAGGCATAACAAAAGAAAGCGTAATCAAAATTACTTCTAACAAGAGATTTGTAAAGTAAAAGGATAATTTTAGGATCAGCTCCCCAGTTACGACCAATTACAGATCTTATTATATTAGTGGCTCTTAAAGCACGATCTACTAAGCAATCAACGTATAGATCCCATTTTAAATTTTGATGAAAAATTACCCCCAGAAATTTAACGCTACAGTCTGTTGGAAGAGTTTGATTATTATATATAATATTCATTAATGGAACATATTTATGAACTTGATGAAAAACAACTACTTTACTTTTGGTTAAACTAATATCGAGGGAAAGAAGAGAAAAATATTTCTCAAGTCTTTTTAATGACTCATTTAACACTAATTGCATATCAATAATATTCTTTCCTTTTATATAAATTAATAAATCATCGGCAAATTGCAAGTTGTTCACACTGTTTCCTAAAACTAAATTAAGTTTATAGATATATAAAATATATAGTAGCGGGCTTAAAATACCACCTTGACATACTCCTTTAGAGCTTAACCTAGGTCCTATTAATTTACTATTTACTTTAACATACACTTCTCTATTACTAAGAAAATTATAAATCCATTCGATAAGTTTCATTGGAAGAAATGAGGATAGAATCGAAGATAGAACTGTTAAATTTACATTGTTAAAAGCTCCTACGACATCTAAAAAAACAGATAGAACATATTCATCGTTATTCAAAGCAGTACTAAGGTCGACATAGAAGTTCGCTAAACTTTCGCGCGCTGAATATCCACGGCGAAAACCAAATTGATTCGATGGTAATATACTATTACTTTCAATAAAGAACTCTAAACGCTGTTTAATTAATTGTTCGAATAATTTGCCTGCATAGGACGTCAATGTTATAGGTCTATAGGAGTCGAAATTTGTAGGATCTTTACCGGGTTTAATTACTGGAATCAAACAATCCATTTTCCATTCTGGTGGGATAATACAGTCCTTCCATAAATCGTTAAAAATTTGTAAGAGTTTAGTAAGGTTTATTTTATTCAGCAATCGAAACATATTGTATGTTAAGCGATCAAGGCCACTAGCTGTATCTTTTCTAGATTTTACTGCACTGGATATTTCATCAATTGAGAATGGGTCAGTGAGAAATTTTGGGCATGAATTAACAGAATTAAACTGTTTGTCATCAAAAGGTGAGTGTACAAAATCAGGAGTATATTTGCGTAAAAAATCATTGACCCATGATATATCTTTAAAATGATTTGGACGATGTTTTGAATTTAGTTTTCTCATATTTTGCCAAACAGTGGAAATTGGTGTTAATCTATTAAATTTGGAACAAAATTCCTGCCACCCCTGTTGTCTTACTTGCTTAATTACTAACTTTTTAACAGCTTGAACTCTTTTAAAATTTATGTAATTATCGAGAGTTGGATTTTGTTTAAACCTAAGGTAAGCCGCTTTACTATCTTTGACAGCTGTCGCACACCTGTTATTCCACCAAGGTACTGCAATATGTTTGTGCCTCTTTGAAGTATTTGCACCGCTATTTGATAAGTTCCTACGTGGAACGGAACGTTCCACAGCTGTCAAAATAATTTTACAGAACCTATTGTAATTGTTTAAGGGTTCATTGACATCATACTCGAAATCCAAAAGTAATCGATTAACAGTTTCAGAATAAAGATCCCAATTAACGAGACGTAGGTTTATACGATTTAACAAAAGTTTATTAACTTCATCTATATGAGCATGTTGTTCACCTGACGGAGTTGATGAAGAGTTCTTTGTGTTTATTTTAGTAAAAGTCGGCAGGTGATAACTTCCTAACGGATCATCATGAACCGACCACTCGCATTTTAATGATATGGATGGGGATACCATAGTTAAATCAAGGCCATTGGGTCTCCAAATATGAGAGCCAACAGTAGTAACTTGCTTATCATTTAATAGTACCAAATTACATTCATCTAAACAATCAAGAATGTCTTTACCTCTTGTATTAGTGGAGGTACAACCCCACATAGTATGATGTGCATTTAAATCTCCAGATATGATAGTGGGTTTAGGAAGAGACTCCAAAAAGAACTTAAATTTGGCTTTAGTAAAACTAGGTGTACTATTGGTAGGACAGTAAATACTGGCAACTGAATACCAAGAATTATTAACTTCAATACTAATAGCTATAGTTTGCAAAGAATTGTCGAAAAAAGAGTGAAGTTTTTTATATCTAATACTATTATGTATAATAATCGCTACTCCATTGTGGTTATTACCACAATCATTTCGTTCTATACAATAATCTTTAATTTTTAATTTGTAATGTGGTTTTAGCCAAGTTTCTGAGATGAGAGCAATGTGAATATGATGTTCATTTAAAAATTGTGTAAAAATAAGTCGATTGCTCAGTAGGCTCTGAGCGTTCCACTGTATGATAGTTAATTGGTCTCGATTGAATTTTGTGAAATAGGTGTATTACCAAAAGTATCATATAACACATTCAAAACACTTTTAGTGTTAATAGATGTGTTCTTTGTGTTATGTAGTGAAATAAGTTTGATTATGCTTTCTATTAAAAGTGATAAACTCTTGTTATCAGAATTTAGAATTGAAATTAGGTCTACATTTTTTTTAGGTTTGTTACCCAGTTTAGGAAATATTTCAGTGCTAAGTATATCTCCAAAAGAAGCAGGTCTGAATTTAGATCTATTTTCATCAATTTTCTTTTGTTTAACAGGGCATTGCGGTGATACACTTGTGTGATTTCCATTGCAGTGTACACAAATAGCGTTTTCCATTCCAGTTGTACAAGTTTTATAATTATGCTCACCTTTGCAGATGCTGCAACGCTCAGAATTCTTACAGAATTTAGCTAAATGTCCATACCTCAAGCACCGGTAGCATTGTTTAACTGGTGGTATATATGGAGTGACATTGTGGCGCCAACCTCCAATATCCAGATATTCAGGTAATACAGATGCAGCAAAAGTAATTGTCACGGTTAGAGTTGGCTGTAACACATATCCATGAGTCAAGGTATTTTTTCTTAAAATTCTTTTAATAGCAATAATTTTCTTAGAACTCGATATCATAGTATATATTTTTTTATTAGATATATTTGTAGGTACATTTCTAATAACGCCTGTAACTTCTGTTGAAGAAGCAGGAATACTGGCCTTAAAATGGTAGTCATTTAAAAAAGTTTTATTATTTAAAAAAGCATTGGCTAAGTCTGGCTTTTGAAAGTATACTCCGATTTTGAATTTATTTATAGATCTAAGATAAGTTACCCCTTTATTAAAACGTTTTAAACAGGAGGAGAGTGAGAGCAAGTCTCTGGATCCAATGGTTTTCTGACTATCTGAGGATTCTACAAAGACAACAAATTCTGTCCCAGGGGATTCCTCGGGATATCTTCTAATATAATCTGTGACGTAGTAAGGTTTATACTTATCGGCCTTATCAATTTCAGATTCTGAGTCAGTAGAAGTATCTTCCGAATATATATCCTTGTCATTACAAGGTTCATGGTCTACATCACCTGAATCGTCATCTTTTTTTTTCCTTTTCCTACAACTGCGCTTCCCCATGAATGCTAATTATATTACTGTCACTGAATTTAGTGAAAATATAATATTTTATTCAATAATAAGAATTGATAGAGATAGTTTTTATAAATTAATAAAAAAATTTAAAAAACCCGCTTGTTCTTATTCGAGTTTCCCGCCTTTTCGTCTTGACATTGATGATGTCACATTCCCATCCTGTAAACAGTTGACACTGACAGCGTATTGACAGTATTATAGTCAACCAAGGCCAGGGATGTATAAAATAATCGATTTTAATTCAATCGATTTTAATTTCATATAACAGATTTTTATAATAGATTTATAGTAGTATAAATCTATTTTTAATAAATCGATTATATAAATTACGCGTTTAAGTCGATTTTCATAAACACCGTATTTTAGGAAAGAAATTATAAAAATTATTATTTTTAAACTGCTTACATGAAAAATTTATGGTTATATTTATTTTAATCAAATATAAAATTTTTAAACATTTTGTGACAATACGTTAACGATGTCATTTAACTTTTTCACGTTTTATTTTATTTTAATACTACTCTTACGTAAAACGAGACTAAAAATTAGTGCAAATAATTATTTGTCGTCTTTTGATTATTTAAACTTAAAAAATAACGAAAGATTTGTTTTATATTTTAGTTTATGAGACCATAACGTAGTCGTTTAGTTTTTTATCGTTTTAAATATTTTAAAACTAGTTCAATGTAAAATAGTACTGGACATTTATAGCATTTTTTTTTTATTTGATTTACATTTTAGTTTCTGAGACAATAAGGTTGCCGATTTATTGGGATGCTCATCGTTTCATTTTTATTATAATAAAACGTTTAATGGTACTGAAAATTTGTATCAATAATGATATTTTGTTTCCTTGAAAGTTTAAAGGAACATGAGCTTCGAGATCTAGTTTTGAATTCATTATTTTTTTATTTATATAATTTTATTAGATTTTTATCTAATATATTGTTAATATGAATCTCTTAGAGGTATTATTGAAATATGAAAAGCAGTAAATTTTTAAATAATAGAAAAAATATTTTTTCTATTATTTAAAAATTTTTCGCAGAAATCGATTATTGGTGTTTAATAAAATCAATTGTAGACGTTTCGATTAGTATTAAATATAGAAAAATCAATTTTTATTTTATCGATTCTCTTCCATTAATCTCACATCCCTAACCAAGGCCGGCTCGCATCCGGTCGCAGTCGGTACTCGGTTAGGTTAGGTGTAGTAGTATTTAGTTGGGACTTATGATGAGTTATCGTCTATTTTGTCATATTTATATTCGCCGAAAATAAAATTATCGAATATTGATATCAGCATATACACACATAAATATATTTTGGTGAGTAATTAGGTTAGTATAACTTTAACTTATTATTTATAATAAACTACAATTCAACACCCAAATTCACTTAAAAAATATTAAACGTAAGCTAAAAACAACTTCTTTAATTAGATGAAGGTTACAATTATATCAAATATAATTCGTAAGCATCTATTATGCTTACGAATTATATTTGAGAAATACGGCAACCTACTAAAATAACCTCAAATAACCATGATTAAATTATATATACATATATATAATTAAATCATAACATATATAATGTATAATGAAAATCCAAATCATATATATATATATATATATATATATATATATATATATATATAATATATATAATTTTGATCAACCCTCCTTGGATATGCATTTGCTGGTGGTATCCGCCACGTACAAGTATATGGAGAAAAGAACTGAGGAAAAAGAGGGGGATGTTGGGAGTGAGCAAAGGAAGTTGGTAAAAAAGATGAATACTGGTCACAAACTGCAGTGGCTCAGGAGAACATGGTTGCATACCCGTGTGCCCTTACTCTAGAACCGGACAAATCACTAAAAAAGATCACCCCTGGCACAAGCTAATACAACTATAAATTTCTAAAATATAATAATATTTCTTTCAGATTTAATAAGATGTGTGGCATTTGGGGCACTTTCGGAGTAGACGGAAGCTTAACTCCCGCCTGTCACAAATGCTTTTCATGCATTGAACACCGCGGCCCAGATGCGTGGCGTATAGAACAAGACGTCCGCGAACCACTCGCAATACTGGGATTCCGAAGGCTCGCCATTGTCGACGGCTTGCATGGCATGCAGCCTATGCGACTACATCAATATCCACGCACTACTCTAGTTTGCAACGGTGAAATATACAACTTCAAACGTCTTCAAACACAATATGAATTTCCCTATGAAACCAAATGCGATGTCGAAGCTATCATTCACACCTATCATAAATTTGGCATGGAAGACACTGTTAAAAAACTTGATGGCGTATTCGCTTTTTGTTTAATTGATGGCGAAAAAAGAAAAATATATTTAGCGCGAGATCCATATGGTGTTCGACCTTTATTCAAGCTTCATGACGAAGTAAACGGTGTCATGGCAATTGCTTCAGAAGGTAAAGGTCTAATGGGACTTAAAATAAAATCCAATGAAACTACTACATTGGGACAATTCCCTCCTGGACATTTCGAAGTGTGGAGTATATTGGATAATGGAAAAGTGAAGAAAGATTACACTGAACAATACTTTAAACCAGGTACACCACCAAGATTTGAACCATTTGTTGCTGAATATGTTTTGAAAAATATGGATTTAAAAGAAAAGACTGCATATCTGTTAGAGGCAGCTTGTAGAAAAAGGTTAATGGCAGAAAGAAGAATAGGCTGTCTTCTAAGTGGTGGATTAGATTCTTCGCTAATTACAGCATTAGTAGTAAAACTTGCCAAAGAAGAAAAACTGCCTTACAAAATTCAAACGTTTGCTATTGGAATGGATGACTCGCCTGATTTGGCCGCTGCTCGGACTGTGGCAGAATATCTCGGTACAGAACATCATGAAGTAAAATTCACTGAAGAGGATATTAAAGAAGAATTGGATAATGTCATATATCATTTGGAATCTCATGATATTACAACAATACGTGCTAGTTTACCCATGTATCTTTTATCAAAATACATAAAAAAGAATACTGAAACTACAGTCGTCTTTAGTGGAGAAGGTGCTGATGAGCTGGCCCAAGGATATATTTATTTTAGAGATGCGCCATCACCAAAAGCCGGCCACGAAGAAAGCAAACGACTACTTTCAGATATTTACTTATATGATGGTTTGCGGGCAGACCGTACAACTAGTGCTTTCAGTTTAGAACTAAGAGTGCCATTTTTAGACATTCAGTTCACTCACCATTATCTCAGTATAGACCCAACTCTACGTCAACCTCAAAACGGTATAGAAAAATATTTATTACGTAGTAGTTTTGACAAGAGTGGTCTATTACCGGATGCAATTCTATGGCGACATAAAGAAGCGTTTAGTGACGGTGTTGCATCTCTGAAAAAGTCTTTATTCACAACTTTATCAGAAATAATCTCTGAAAGGCTTCCAGAGGAAGACATTATCTATAAAGGGGTACAGCCTACAACAAAAGAAGCTAAGTATTATCGCTACATATTCGAGGTATCTTTTCCAGGACAACATCATTTCACGCCGTATTATTGGATGCCTAAATGGGTACAAGTTACGGATCCCTCTGCTAGGTTTATTAAACATTATGCTGCATCATCGTCCGTTAACAACTAAAACTTATACTTCTACAACATATAAATTGTTTTATTACAAAGATATGGTTTATATAAAGTAAGCGAAATATTAATGTCAAAATACAAACAATTTTATCTATGTAACAATAAGTCTACAATAAATCTCTAACAAAAATGATGGAGTTAACATTTAATAAAAACTGAAACTGCCATTAGTACAGGATCTTCTGGAATACATTTTAATCAATATTATTTAAATGAAATCATTCTAAAAAATAATTCAAACATTTTTAAATACAAAGATTTTAGGTATAGAAATACGAAGACATAAGGTTCCTTGTAACTATGTAAAATTTTAAATATAGGTAGTTAATTTGGAAGAGAAACAATGTTATTGTTTGTGATTAATATAGTTCACGATGTGCTACTTTAATAAGTAAAATTATTAGAGGAAATTACAAAAATATTACATTACGTCAAAAGGTTTAGAAATCTGTGTGTACCAACATAACCGTGGTGGCTTACGTAACAGGGAATTATAGCATAACACTATAAACAAAGTTTCTACCTACACTACACTGTATATACTTAAATATATATTAAATCAATCAATATATTATACACTTAAACGAACGCTAAAAATAAAAATGTGATAAGTATTACTTATTTGAAATGGAATCGTATTGATATTATAGTACCTAATCGGTAATAATTTTATAATGAAAAATTTTACATGCTTTTACAAGGTGATTCGATAAGTTATGTACATTTTATAGCTACATAAAATCTATACCTACCTGTATGTGTAATAGATGTGTTCTTTTATTGACTTGTTACAATCTTAGAAATACACAATTATTATGCATTTATAAAATTATTTATTTCATATTTTTTTATTCCTGTTAAGTACTTGACAGAATAAATGAGTTATTTATTGAGAACAAAATAAAACATCCTAAAATATAGAAATAAATGTACGCTCCTACCATGGAAATGTACTCTACATTTCCACCACCATTTTTGCCACCACACATATATACATTCACCAAAATATAAACAAAACACTAAGTATTTAGCTAATAATCCTTCTGCAAAGCCTTACAACCTTACAAACTTTAAAACACAAAAAAACCGGTGTGCATTTCGAATTTTTATAAAATCCTTTTTTGTGATCTAGTCTTTAGTTTACACAGGCTTTATAGTAATGTTTAGACTTTAATCTAACTTAATAGACACACTTACGTTCTATCCAATAGAAACAAAATCATCTAGCACTACTTTTTTCTTTGAAAAATTATATAAACTCTTATTTTTATTGAAGGATTTTACAAACTGATAAACAAAATTACAACGATAAAACAACAGTTATAGCGCATAGTGAACATAGGTATCTACCATTAAGTACTATTGTACGTATGTAATAATTACATAAAAAAAAACTAAATTAAAAGTAAATAATATTTGATGGTAACTATATTTTAAGGGGATGCAAAGAGAGATAAAGATAGTGCGATGTAGCTAGTGAGTATAAAAGTAACAGTAAAAATGTAATATTTATGATCTGTTAATTTTTCAGCTAAATTCACGTAAACGTATCCATTGCTCTGTCAGAACAGAGACTCAGTCTGTACAGCCCATCCGTAGGCAAACGGTCACCTGTGGACTTCTGCAACATCAGGAATGTCACGTACGAGAAATTTTGAAATAAAAATGTTACGTTCGACAGATTATTTACTATCGTAAGCATAAATAAAGACTCAAATAGATGTCGTAGTTATATTAGTAGATACTTTAATTCATTCATACTTTAATTATAATCCAAAATTAAGTACAATAGAGTTTAAGTAAATATTGAAATTTAGTCGAATTTTTGGATCAATAAGTAACCGTCATCTATAGACATGAACAGTATCAAGACCAGAACATTTTGTACAATTTGTTTTTAGTAAACATCTATTAGTAGAGAAGTAATAGTTTATAAAAGTATTAAAATCAGCATTATTAATTATTTTTTTAAAAAGTTAATAATTTTTTCGGAACGATTTAGTGCGAAATGAGATTTGCTATAAGTAAATAAACTCGTAACATCATGGATTTAGTATTGACCCGAAAAAAAGTATGTTAAGTATGAATATACAGTATCTATTATGTAGTATTTTTTTTCTATTTATTTAGTCGAAAAGATATTTATGTTTCGTACCTACTTACATGAACTATAAATCACAAATTGATACAGCTGGCTAGATAAAGGTCCCTAATATTAACTCATCAAACATCTAACATGCCTAAATCCCTACCTACTAACTAACATAATTACTCCCAAATTCTAGTATTATTAGAATTGTTTGTGTCAATATCTTACATACATAATCCTATCTACATTATATACATTCTAATCTTTAAAATGACTAAATATTTATGTAGATAAGATCCTCATTAATAAATGTGAAAGTTTACAAGACATTTGTTTGTTTGTTAATCAATCTAGCTTAAATAGCTGAACAGATTGGAATGAAATTTAGTAGGCTATATCCTAATTTAACACATAGGTTACTCTACATACTAATCACGCGGGCAAAGCCACGGGTAACAGTGCTAGTTATATATAAATCCACCTATTATATGGAACAACATTCGTCATAAAGTCATACGTTGAACTCTATTTAAAATCGAAGTAATTTGGAGACTTTAGGTATACGAAATTGAGTAAATGAGTGTTTTTATGTCCCCTTTGTATTCCTACTTACATTTTGTATTAAAATGGATTACAGCACTATTTTTATAGCATACGGGGCTCATATAAAGACATCATCATCATTAAAACTATCCACCATCCAAATTTCAACATAAGTCTCCATCATATGTCGTCATAAAGTACGATCCTGCACCACATGCATCCAATGACTCCCTGTGACACTTCTGAGATCGTCACTCTCGCGGTAACGGAGTAGGACATATAGTACTTCATAATATTATAGTCGTTGAATAACAACTAACGGCCATTATATCTTAATCACCTATAGTCACGCATTTTATCTTAGTGTTGACCGGACTAGTTACTTTGGCTCCTATTGAGTGTGAAACTAGACAGTCAACTCCAGATATATTTATGTGAATAAAGTCATCATAAATAACCCTATAATTGTCAGGAATGGCAATGCCTCATATCATGCCATGGACGTTACATTACAGTTTGTGATGCGTATGGAAATATTCGACTACATTTCATCAGATAAGCATTCAATATGGTGCTTTTAAATTGAACAGAATAAACAATAGTAAACGGAGGTGTATATAATATATTAACAACAGCCTGTATTTTCATTATAGTAGATACCATTATAGTATTTTCAATTAATCATATTAGAAATTATTTCGCAATAAAACTCTTCTTTCATCATTCTTATCGTAGTAGGTAGATACAAATATGTGCGTACTTACAAAGATCTATAGAATTTATTTCTTTTGCATTGACTATGTAGCTATTTACACAGGTGTATAATATTTGAATCGAGTGTATCGACATTCGTTACTATCTACAATACTTTTTATTAAACTCAAAACATGTTTATTAAAGGTGGTCTGATAGAATCTATAAAATTGTTCATACGTGAACAATTACCTTTTAAGGCTTGATTTTTTTTATTTTGCTGGTATTCCAAATTGTCATCAATAAAAGTTACTTTTTCATGATTATTTTCTCTTTTATTACGACTGCACTTCAGCGTGTCACTTGAACAGTCGCTTATAGTATCATAAAAAGTCAAATTAGAATAACCCGGCTCAGGTTTACCAGTAACTGAAGTAGTTTTATCTATATATTTAAAATTCCTTCCTATAGATTTATCACATGTAAACATTTTAGAATTGGTTTCTAATTCCTCGTCCTTTAAGACTCTAGTTGAGCCTTTGTGTAATGCGTTTAAAGCGACCAAACAAGTAGGGCATAGTACAAAATTATTACGAAGGTAATCGATCTTAACACTTTGCTGCTGAGGTACTATTTCAATGTGTCTGTCGTCTCGAATTTTATTACCACTCGTAGTTTGTACAAATTGATCAGAAGAGCTGTTTGACTTTTTTACCTGAATCCCTTGTTCAACTTGATTACCAATTTTCCAATAGCGGGAATTATTTTTATAAGTTTTACATGTACAAGTTAAGTTTGCTAATCGTTGCTTTAGTGCACGTAGTTCTATAGGTTCACAGCAATTGCTATTTATGTTTGGGTTCATCATCCTTTCACTGACAAATATAAACGATTAGTTCTTGAAAATCAAATGTCGATAGACTACCGATTCATACTTTTATAATAATATTACATAATTACATCATGCCTGAAATATTTTGTTACGTCTATGTGAAAAGTTAGGTTCAATTCTCTATGGTTAAAATTTTATATAGGATCATAGACAATGGTAGTTATAAATAGTGGTTTAAATATATATATATATATATATATATATATATTTACAACTTTTTTCTAATCTAAGAGTAACGACTTAAATACTAGGTACTAAAATTGCGCCTTATATTAATAATTTTAAGTAGTTACTTATAAACTAAAAACTTGTAATGTTTAAAATATTAAAGACGTAGTATAATTATATGCAATCTAGTTACATTTATACTTATATTGCATGGAACATAACTCAATATGTTTTTGCATGAAACCTCTTGAATCAATATATTCGTGACATCACATGGATCCGACACAACTGTTCATATAATACCAAATAATGTAGACGTATGACGCTAATCAAAAAGCTATTTAACATATTATACAATGCTGAGACGTCAATTAATTTTCTTTAAATATTTTATTCAACTGTAACTATTATTTAAATATGAAAAAACAGAACAGTAAAAAACAAAATAAGGGGGCTTCAAACCCACAATTTACGAGTAAGGTAATAACAATTGTACACTATGTAGAGAAGACAATATACCTAACACTTTAAAGTTAAAATAACTGCGGCTTCAGAGCCCATTATATGAAAGTGGGGTCTTATGAAATATCTCGATGTTCAGGGGGCCTCTGTGTACAAATTTTTTAAGGCAATGGTTTGTATTATACGTTAGAATTATTCACTTTTGTTTATTGTTTTTTAATAGATAGAGAGGTTGCTTATTATTATATAAACGTTCACTATTCTTTTTATTTTTTGAACTTAAGACAGAAACATGCAATTCACCTGAGAATAACCTTCACAGTAATCTTTATACGACTGCAATACCAAGAGCATTGCGTATGTAACGTCGAAATAAGCCGAAAGAAATTCTCTCAGATTTTGCAAATTCTGATAATGGTTACTAATTTATTATAATTTTAGCCCTTCTGTGACTGTACAAAATGCAAATGCAATAATTGTCCAGATATACTAGAGATGCTCGCAATAACAGTCACTGATAAATCATGTGATTTTGGTTCTAAGGTCAAAGGTAAAAAGGCTCAGCATGACGAACCAAATGTAAGAAATAGACCTAGTCTCATGAATGTTATCCATGGTTCAGAGTGTAATTGCGAAGTGATGGCGCACGCAGTTCGCTCTCACGTGCACATGAACCTTGGACTACCCGACATGCACACAGCTAACACTTCAGAGAAACAAAACTCTTCCAATAATTAGAACGCCACGACAGCGAAATAAAAATCAGTTTCCAGTTTTTATGTTTTATTTTTCTTTTATACATTCAGAAAAATAAAGTATTAACAATAACACAAAAATGTGCATTTTGGATTCGATTTATAAAAAGTATCGGAAACAACAAGCTAAGAATTAAATGGTTTGTTGCTATTGCAATTTTGCAAATTTTTTCGTTCACTTTTATACACTTGCTACAAAAATTCAAACAAAGACTGAAAGGCCATTAAAATAACAGACGTTTAGCTTATTTTTTTTTTTTATTTCCTAGCTACTTAATGAGATAATTTTAATTATCAATATTATTTTCGTGGTTGTCCGTCTCATTCTGCGCTTTTTGGATTTTCTTGAATTTATCACAGACATAATTCCAATATTTACTTCTGATTTTATCATATTTTGTTGCTAAATCATGACAAAGTAGTATAGCTCTATCAGCATTATGGAAAGTATTGGTTTCTCCTTTCTTTATGGCTTCATCACACATGTCAATAATAAAAGCTAATAAATATGGAGATCGACATTTGTTCTTATATAATTCTTCGCAAAATGACGTCACAACAGCATTGCCATTGATTCCTCTTTTATCGTGAAAACAAACACCTCTCAGGTAATTCCATGAGCTCTCATTATTCTTTACAAATTTAATCTTCTCCAATGTATAGCAAATTTCTCTTTGTACATTCAGATCTGACCAACCTAAGTGATTATTCATCACAAAGTAGCGTTGATTCCATGCAGAATTATTACGGACATCTTCGGTTATTAAATTGTCAACAAATTCTAGTTCTTTGTCAAATAGGCTGTAAAATGTAATATATTTTATGTAATTTGTATATAACAAAGCAATTTATTGACTAAATAAATTGATCCAAAAATATGAAAACCATATTTTAATGATTATTTAATTATTGTGAGATTGACTTGGTGTTAATGGAACGAAAATAGCTGTGGCATGGTGAAGAAGGTGAAACCACGGCTGTTTTCAATCACAAAATAAGTTTTGAAATATGATTGTCATATCATAATGGAATTTTTAATCACTATAATACTGATCATCTATATACTTATCGATTACATAGAACTTACACTAAATACATACACAATAACCAGAACCAAAGATCGCAATGCAAATACGTATAGATAGAAGCATAGACAGATTTTTAAACATTTGCTCTCTCAAAATTTTCACGAGAAAATTACCGAGTGACAAAGCATACAATTATGAATTACAAAAATAAAAAAGGCATGAATTACTAACAAAGATCGTTAAATCTCTAACAGGTAAATATTTTTTCTTAATAAAATAAAATTTACTGCACTTGACTTCATAATTTAATAATTACAATTGTTTTAAAAATAGTGTATTCTTCTTAAGTTAACAAAAAGCAATTAACAGTCAAAACATACGAAAAGGAAAACGAGACGAAGCCAATAGTCTACTAACAGATGTAAAAAAATATTATTTTCAAACCAATTGCTAATATCATCGAAAATTTGCAAGAGACAAACTAATGAATGTAACATAACAGTTCTAATTCATAACAAAATTTCCAACCAAACACTGTCTAATATCTTTATCATGTTGGAATTAAAAAAAAAAAGAGGATCAGTATCTTTAAAATAAAAAAATTATCCACCAATTCCTGGCTTCATATCTTTGGGGACTCGAAAGAGAATTGTTCCAAATACCAAACATATGAGTTAAAGTTAATCCCAATTCAGTATTTTATAAAACTAAAATATCTTATCCAACTTTAAAATTGATATATGTACCTAGTCAATAAAAACATCAGAACCTCTACTTTCAAAACTATATATGCGTAACTAAAGGTAACATATATTCTATTGCTATAAAAGGGGAAGGGCGACAAATAAGATGGATAAATATTTAAAAATGATATAGCCAGAGCAGCATATTATTAGATAGGATACGTAAATTTTATGATATCACAATGTTAGATAATCACTATTTTATTATTATAATTGTGAAATTTGTTTAATATTACTTACCCGAATGTTTTCATGACCCATTGCCTATGCTGCCAGGCGTGATAATTTTTGGGATCCTGCAAAAGTGCATCCCCTGTTAGCTCTAACTCTAGCGATGGATCTTGCAACCACTCCACAAGTACTCTTCTGTGATGCCAAACCTGGAATTTATAAGATACAATGTTAAGTTAGTTTAACTTTCCATTATATATTTTTCTCATATAAACACACCTGGATCATAACAATAAATTGAGATTTTATCATTTTTTTTTTAAGGAAATAATGCAATAGATTTGAATATCGTTATCATGCGTGTTATTATGGCTTCTCTGAGTTTTTGAAGAAATTACTGACTATATATGTCATACTCACTGCTGTATGTTTCATACATAAAGTAATATCAGATAACAGCAATTTCTGAAATTTTATTTTTTTTCAAAAAGCTTTCTTTATCACTCTGAATTGATAATTCAACTGAAACATATTATGAACCACTAATAGTGTTTATATCAAAAATTTCCTCTTAATTTTTTCAATTTTTTTAATATTTTTTTTATACCAACAACAATTATATAGTAAATTATTGTACCTATTAACAATTAAACTGTTGCGTTACTCATTTAATTCAGTCCTATTAATATGATAAATGTAAGTTTGTAACAATGCATGGATGTTCATTAGCTTTTCATGCAAAAACTACTGAAGAAATTTGAATGAGATTTGGTAGATGGATAGATTATATCTAAAATTAAAGCACAGAATATTTTATATATTGATTCACACAGGTGAAGTCACATAATATAACTTGTGTAAAATAAATATAGACCTGATAGTTTTTGGGTGAGTGTTTTATGACAGCTTCTACATAATCTAACTCAGTTCTCAAATCTGTGCCCAAGGCCTGCAGTAGATCCCGCCTGTAATAAAAATATAGATAACATAATTTGAATGTAAATAAGTATTAAAAGCATTATATTAGAAATGAGTTGTATCTTCATGCTAAGTCTGCTGTGGATAATTAAAAAGAACCAAATAACAAAGGCTTCCTTATCCTTACAATCCTTATATTGAATAGTACATATTATTATAAAACTTGTCATGTGATCCTGGAATAGGTCACCCCTTCCATTCCCATGAGTGTGGTAAGAGGCGACTAAGGGATGGGCAGCAGCATTCCTCTTAAAATATCTCCAAAGCCTAACTGTGGTTGCCAAGCTGCCTGCCAATCGTGGCAACTATGTGGAGTTTGACTATGAAGCTTCTGTTCAGCAGTGGACAGTTAAAGGCTGATATGATGATTATAAAACTACTATGTAACACCAAAGTCCTCTTTATGGGAGTCTATATAATGATATTTCATCCTATATATAAACAACTAGCTGTATCCCACAATTTTGCCTGCACTAATCGGGACATAAATTGTCCTATGTGCTAAGTTAAGATATAATTGTTACTTATTCTTGTTCCATTAATCTAGGATAGACCATTAGTACAATATAAAACTATATACAAGAGGATATGATTTAGCATAATTACATTATTTATAATAAAAGTATTCAAAATTTAACAAATTTTATTCTGATATTTAAATAAAAATAAGTATAAAGATTACATCAAGGCAAGAATATTATAAATAGATCCCCTTTCAGATCTCTAAGAAATAAGATTAAAAGAATGTGGAAGTGACATCCATGGCAGTAAAAATATAAAGTTAAGTTATAAATATTTTTAAATCAATATAGGTACATAAATATTACACACATTGTTATTACACAATTTGAAATGACAGAATAATAATCCATTGGATGATAAGTCGTAAACATTGCACAATGTAGGCTAAAATGTTTTTTTTTTTTTTTTTATGCAATGATGAATGGCAAACAAGCTGAGGGCTCACTAAATGGGAAGTGGTAACCATCGCCTATAGACATGAGTACCATGGAAATAACAGAGTATGCTGTTTCGCCCATGATACTCCCCATGTGTTGCCATTGCTGAGGAGATGTTATAACTTTGTACCCTGTAAATTCACTGCCATATCCCACCCTTCACACTGAAACAGCCATGCAAACACATCACAGTAGAAACATGAATGGGACAGAGGTATCCAAGCAAACAACTTCTATACAAAGTCTCCCTCTGGTAATGGTGTGGTATGTATACCATATCCAGCAATTCCACTACAATGTCACACTTCAAAGTCAATTATAGCTATGCAAAACAACTTAGCAGCAGAAACATAAGTAAAACCTTATGTTATTAATAGGACACTTACCTATATTGCCATACTGTATAATTAGCAGGATTCAATTCAACAGCATCTTTAGTTAATTGCAGTGCCCTCTCAGACTTTTCATTACTTTGGAGTACTGCACGAAAATAATTGTAGACATCTTCAACTGAAATAAGTAAAAAACCACCACATTATGTATTTTGATATATTTGATACATTATGAAGTTTAATACATTAAATCCTAATAATAAATAAGTAACAATAGAAGAAATTAATTTATTTATTTAAATGCTTTTGTACATTTACTTATAGTATAGATATTAAGATATAGCAAAAATGTACACAGGTGGATTACCCTTAAAGGAATTTCTTCTAGTCAACCTTGAGTATCCGAATGGGGAAGATGTCTATAGGGTTTGTATATAAAGCATAACATATATGCTGCACAAATAATAGGATAAATAATAAATTATTACTAGCTAGACCAATAAGTATAAGTAGATAAACATATTAAGGACAAAAATTTTTATAGATAAAACTTCCTTTTTTTAATTCCTGTTCAAACAATGTAAGCGAGTTACCTATATAAATGTAACATATTTGGACTTGTATATTTCATACAACTGAGGAGATAAGTCAAGTGGATGTAATATAATGTAAATTGGACTCAATTTTCCATACTGAGCCTCTCATTTGGGCCCTTGTGCATATGAGTCATAACTAGTACAGCTAGCCCAGCTCCGTCCAAAAATACAGAAGCTTTCTAGGATATTCAAAGGCTTCACGGAGCGACCTCACTGTTCCGAGGATTTCTAAATATTGAGGAGCATCAGCTTCACATTCCAGGATTATAGGAGGATCTCCAAATGGTTCTCCATGGAAACTACTGTTTCATTTCTAGTCAATTTTTATACAACTTAGAATGGCAAACAAGCTGACAGCCCACCTGATGGAAAGTGGTAACCGTTGCTTATAAACATGAGCAGTACCATGGATATAACAGAGTATACTGTTTCGCTCATAATACCCCCCATGCGTTGCCATTCCTAAGGACTCAGGTGTTATTCCTCTGTACCCAGTAAATTCATTCAATTAAGATGAGGTTACTATTTAAGTTTTACCTAGATACCCTTATTCTAATAGTAAAATGTGTATAAATGAGAGATCTATTTATAAATAAAGTGAACACAGCCAGCATAATTTTTATGAACAATATCATGCAGCACAAACCCCATAATGAAATTTTACACTAATATTTCATTTATCTAAAAAATAAAGCTTCATATTCATTTAAAGATGAGCATCCTGATCATAGTTCAAGGTCTAAGATTACATCTACTACCTATGTCTAATAACTAACAAAGATAGGTAAGTAAATGTAATTTATAGAATGAAAAATAATAATGAATATATGAGACTATAAATGTATTTGTTAATAACTTACATTTTTCAGAGTGAGCAATAACCACGACTGGCGAAGGACCATCGTTCTCCGGTACCGGTTTCAAATCTCTCCACTCTGGTCGATCTTTATAAAGAGTCCAGGCAGCGTCATTCTCTCCGCTATCAGACATCCTCACGACTATAGGTTTATTTGCAATTTAATTCTTTTAACTTTGGTTATATTTACTAGATCACTTGTGTACACTAGATCGACGTGAATAAACACCTAGCTGTTATCTAAATCTAGAGCATTAGCGACTATTTAAAGTTATATCTTTAATTAAACACACAGTTAATTTTAAAGATTCAAGACTTGGCAGACGAGGAAAATATAATTTTAAATTGTGAATGAGGTTCCCTTTCCCTTAACAATATGGGCAACAACTTGCAAAAAAACGTTTATTTTTATGTATTACGTGTATATGTCTTTAATTATTTTACCAAATTTGATTACATATATTTTGTTTTTTTTACTTTAAAATATTGATATTGAGTACATTAGTAATAGAATTTCTCGAATGACTAAAAATACAATATAAACGATTAGCTGAAACGAAACACGTAATTAGACAGACCCGTCTATAACAATTCCAAAAAATCTTTTGTATATGAGCTATGCAACCATTTGAATATTTATAATATAATATAAAATTTCAGCCTTTGACACTAATTAATATTGATATTTTAGATAGAGTTCATTATAAATAGGTATACAATAGAATTGATTTGATCACTACTTCTTTAAACTGATCTCTAAATGAAAATTAAATTTGATATTGCAGCAAAATCTTTATTCTAAGGACCAACATGAACAAAATTTCTAATATATTTAAGTCAAAATTATTATAAATATAGTTTAGAATTAAATGAAACTATTAAATTAAAATATTAGGTTAAGAGATCGATTTAGATGTACTCAAAAGTCGACCCTTTTACTGAATTATTTTATTACCTTTATTGATATTTCTAAGTAGTTGCATAGATTTATTTTCCAGTTTTGTAAATATAAGGGTAGTGTTGATCCTAAATTTACACAGTAACCTGAGCTTAGCTGAATAAGTATTCAGCTACTCTGTCGTAATTGTCTTGTGTGTGTCATACTGACAGTAATTTTTTTTTAGTACGTTTGTTCCGTTGTGGACAGGCTAAGGTCGGAGACCATGCTGCCTAGTCTTCAATATAATAATTTGTCTTCAATAATACTGACAGTAAGTGTTAATGTCAGTGTCCCATTGATTTGTTTTTTATTCCATTTCAAACACAGCAAAAGCGCATCCCACCGGAAATTATTTATCGGAGATAAACAATTGTCTTTAATTAAAAGAATAAGTTTATAAAAATATACCAAGTCCAATATACAAATAAAATCATATGTAGACGTTAATTACTAATTATGCAGTTAATTAAAATAGAAATTAAATTGCTTTTTATGTTTTTTTTAGATGATAATGGAATGGTAGTATAATGATTAGAGCTTTTAATTTTATTTAGATTAATAGGTATAGTAACCTCGAAAAAAGCGACTAAGGGAACTTAATGATTGAAATATGGGCAACAAACTCCCTCCTTAGACATCGCAAAGGTAACTAACTGCGGTTGCCAACCCATCTACCAATTGTAGCAATTATTAATAGAACCTCCAAATAGGGGAGGCTTATGTTCAGCAGTAAACAGTTAATAGTTGATATAATTATAATGTTGTAAGACATTGAATGTCCTTTGCACGCTTAAATACCTTTTCTTTATCTTAAAAAAAAACTGCTGATACATGAAAATGCATTTTTTATTTTAGGACGCCATGACAGAAACAAGCTAAACAGCCAAGTTACATTTTTCAATGTTGCCAATCTTAGGCACAAATATTTCTAATATACTACAATAATGATGATGATAATCTCAAAAAGCGGTGACATTGAATTGAATAACGCTTTACTGTCGAGGATCCTGAGACCGATTCCCAGTCTAAATTTTCGAATTTTTAATGTTTGTTATTTAAAATAAAGATAAATTGTGCCACCGTCACATCAAGCAGAAATAGTAATAATATACATAGTAGAAACTATGTCAATATACCTATAATTACAGTTTACGTATGAGGTAAGTACCTAAGTACCTACTACCTACGTTGAATTTTTATACTTATATATACATACAATAGTATTCTCAAAAATAACATCAATAGATATTGAAAAATATTTTTATTGAGCTAAACTTATAGCACATGTAGATAACAAATAAATTACGTTATAACTAGTAGGTAATAAATGTAGAGGAACAATTCATATCAATAATATTTTATGTAATAATAGACGCTAGAAGTAGTGTCTCTTCATTTGATTACCAAGCGTAGGCGAGGCCGAGACCATTGGTATATGTCATGTGCGATACCGCAGGAGCTGCAGAATAGGCCACACCGAGAAGACCTCCCGCAGTCGCTACCTAAAAAGAAAGATAATAAATTAAATTATAAATAAATGAATATATAATAAAATAGAGATAAATGAAATTAAATTATATAGGTTTCAAGTTAGATACTCATTTCTGTATACATTTTCATAAAATTCAACAAATTTTTTATTGTATTCTCTGTCTATAACTTTCACAACTATGTTAGGAGTGAACAGACTAATGATATCTTATTCATGCATGTTGTATTTTAAAAAAAGAGTTCATAAACGGTAAACTTAGTAAATTTTAATCCTTAAGGATTTTCGGAACCAACCCTAGCAGTCTAAAAAAAGGTTGTCGAGATACCAAGTGATAACGTTTCCCTATCAGCACAGTGCCGCAGTTCATTTAAAACTACTTAAATTGCATATAATGTGATCCTAGGAAAACATTAATCGTACTAATAAAAAAGCCAAGTTCATAATTGGGGAAGATATACACCTTAGATTTATAGATAGAGCATCCAGCCTCAAAACGGGTCAATATTTTGTCAGCTATATTTGTATACAGCAATATTTGTCAAATTAGCTAACTGGTAATTTTTTAACAGTATTTTATATATTTATGCATATAATATATCTTAACGTATTATTTAATAAATAAAATGATTGTTTACGCATTAAAAAGATGCACAATTGATGAGACATAATAAATATAGAAGTTATAAAGGACTCATGACTATTTATCACGTAAATTTGTATGAAAAAGTTGACACGTTTTTCTCGAAGTATTTCTATGGAGACACTATACTTATCTATATAATCTAAAATATACACAAAGTTAAAACTAAATTCCAAACATTCTACTTTAGGAAGTTGACAAATAATATAGACGAAATATGTATGTATGTATGTAATATATATAATAATAAACGCTCTGATTCCGATATACATAACAAGTACTTTAGTCTCTACTACCACTAAAGATGTTTAAATTATTTATTTATGCATTTACACTAAAGGATACTACCAGAGCTATAGCAACTTTATGGGTAAATATATATACGATACGAGTAACAATGTAAGTACCTTCGCAACAGGAGCCGCCACACCCACGTGCGATACCAATGGAGCTGCTATTCCACCATAGGCTGGTGAAACCGCAAAGCCAGGATTGCTTACACGTATATCCGATTTGCGTACACTTGAAAACGGCGTGTCGATTGCCTTTGAGTATGTTGAAACCTAGAATTTTTTATACAACTTAAAATGGCAAACAAGCTGATAGCCCAACTGAAGAAAAGGGGCCTATATACATGAACAGTACCAAGGATATAACATAGTGTACTGTGTTGCACATGATGCTATATATACGTTGCCATTTCTGAGAACGAAGGTGCTATGTCTTTGTACACTGTCATATCCCACCCTTCAAATTGAAATATAGCTATGCAAATACAATTGCTTCACAATCTAATATCTTTAATATTATCCTTTAATCCTTTGTAGTGAGTTAAATAAGCATATTAATACAAACAGATTGACTGATTTTAACATTCTTTTAAAGTCAGTTTATGTTAAGGGACTGACATTGACGACATCCTAGTGTATTACAAACCATGGAATTTGTAAATTATTCCCCATTGTAAAAATTCCCGTGATAGTGTTCATGAAGTTAAACAACAACAAGGTTTTCTATAAAAATATTGAATTAACTTCTACAATAAACATACCTGGCCAAGATTAAAGGGGGACCTTAATATATTGGACTGCTGAGAGGCAATCGCAGGTTGCGCCGGATAAGCGCTATACGGGTTCCAACCCCCATAACTGTATGGGGCGCCGTACACACCGACAGGAGACACTATACCTGCCTGCGTGACGGCTACAGCACACGCCAATAATAAGATCTACAATAATAACAGAATTATATATATATTTTAGATCGCAAGTTAAGATAACAAGTTTACCTTGGCCTATGGACGCCTCTAATAACAGGGGTGTTACATACCATACATGTTGTTTATTTTAAAGAAACCTTATCTCACCCCTTCCGAAGTACTCCATATACTAACGTCTCTAGTTAAAGATTGGAAAGAAGCTAATTTCATAATCATTAAACTATTTAATTTTTATAGATCGACGTCACAAAGTGATCACGTGGAAGTTATTGTCACTCTGTCTGTAATTTTTCAGCTTGTTTGCCATTCCATTTTTTACAAAATATCCCTTTTTATAATAAAATAATCACAGATAATTATAACAACATAAAAATACTTACTTACTTTTATAATCATAATTCTTGTCCAACCCTTTAAAGCCTGGATGCAAAGTGTTGTTAGTACAGGCGCGGCAAGGCTTTTATAGCACGAGTGCTATGTCAACACATGTTTATTAGAATGGACATGTGTGATATAATAGTACATAGTAATAATATAATGCACTAAGGTGATATGAGAGCATTGTAAGCCGCCATATTGGGAGCACGAGCTTTGGAAAAAGTGTACGCAGCTTAGGCGCGGCGGCGACAACAAGGACAATATTATTTCAAACGATTTATATAAAATTGCATAAAAATATATGTAATTTTATTATATTAAAAACGTTTTAAATAAATTTCTTTATATAAAATACATGTAAAAAAAAATAATAGCTCCGTACACTTTTGTCCTGCCTTGTCAGCCTTGATGTAAGTACTCCAAGAATTGTTTTAATTGTTTAAAAAAAAATTAAAAATAGACAAGGATATTAGATAAGTTGTTTGGTCCCAATTATTAACTACTACTTTTTAGCTGCGACTTCGTCTGCATAACCTTACATATTTATTTTAAAGTAGCTGTCAGCGCCGGCTTTTATTTTTTTTAACCCACATTCTTCACTTTTTTGTACAATTTTTCAAATATTTTCTTTTATACAGACCTTGTCTTAACAATTACAAACAAATAAAAGTATAATTAAGCCAAATAGGTGTATTAGTACTGAAGTGATGCGTTTATATACATGGTTTATAAACTAAATTACTGTGGCTAAGTACCTTTGTACGCAGGCATAGATAAAATATGTAGTGGATCGAAATTTATGATGAGTTTTAATGATACCACGGAGTAACATAAAGAACTTGTACTTTTCCTTTTTGCGCAAACCAATTTTGTACTTTTAGAATAATAAAAAACCTGTTATTAGCCTTAATATTTTAAATACTAGTTTGTAAATATTAACTGTAACGCCGTTGGTTTCTAATAATAAATAAATAAACTCACATTCACATAGCAAGTACTTATACACACCTACTTTACCCGTAGGCCTGCAATTTCAATCAAACCCGGACCTTATTGTTACCTGTGCTAGAATGGAATTGATCTAGGGTAAAAATAATAGTGTCCGACCGAAATTTCGGTTTCGGTTTCAGCTAGCTTCGGCCAAAAATTTTACTTTCGGCCTTAGTTTCGGTTTCGGCGAAAAATTAGCCGAAACATTCGACCGTGGCGAAACTTTGTGTGTGTATTTGTGTTATGTGTGTGTTTAACAAAAAGTTTTTTTTTTTAAATTTTACTTCCAAGATTAAGTCATAATTTTTACATGTTTTTTCATATAAATATATATGACATATTTGTTACATACTTTAATTAGTGTTTATTATTACCCTTTAAGTATCTGTGTGTTTGTGTGAATAATTGTGTAATAAATATACTAAATTTCAGTATAGAAGAGAAATTTTAAATATGTTTTAGTAAATTTCGGTTTCGGTTTTGACCGAAACAGAGACCAAGGCCGAAAGTTCTGTTTTGGTTTCGGCTATAAAACCTGTTTCGGACAGACACTAAAAAATAACTTACTTTTTTATATTGTCGATTAACGTGAATAAACTAATAACCCAAGAAGTAGACCAAGTCTATCAAGTTTTAGGTAGCTACTAATCTTAGTAGTTACTCTAGGATATACCTAAGTACACGTCTAAATGGTAAACGCTGGTTAATAATATTTTATTATATACTTCGCCCTCATATATATAAAATATACTGTATTCTAAGTTAGGATATAACCTATGTGTGTGCCAAATTTCATTCTATTAGCAGTTTTTGCCTGAAAGAGTATGTTACCTACTTTTTCTTTCATTATTCATCCTCACAAATTTTAATAGTAATAGGATATATATTTCAATATCGGTAATATGGTATTGCTGTATACATGACACCTATTTACCTATAACATAATGCTATATTCCTTTATAAAATAATGTACTATAAATGTGAATCTGCATCACAAAATAATGTCACAACAAGGCTAAGTTCAAATTGACCTAGATATAATCTTATTCTATCTCTTTATCTATAAACCTCTGTCTCTATGTGCCAACACATATCATATCCTAGTATTTGCTAACTTTTGAAGAGGTATTTTTATTGTGAACTGATTTCCATGATACTGTTTATAATGATAATGTAAGAATTTGTTCTACAGAAAAAAAACGCCGACTTCAGTCGTGGTTAAATTAGTTATTGTGATTTAAAAGCTGAACCAATTCTGATAAAATTACTATAAGACTAATCTGAAAGTACATTGTTTCAAGATAAAGAAAAAAGAATTCCCCTAATCGGTTTATAAATAACGGAAATTCTAAAGTATCAAACATAAAAAAAGATAAATCCAAATTAAGAATCTCTTTCGAATTCAGTGTAAAAGATTTTTATTAGACGGTACTGCCACATGCATTTAACTATATACAAAAAATACATACATACATAAAGTATTTGATATAAGAATTAGAATTCCTTAAATCGCTTAGTCTTTGAACCACGTGCTAAAGTTTCATTGGGTGTGGTCTAATGTTTTGTACATAGGTACCTCTATTCAACACCAACCCACGTATGTGACCTAAACTAGTAATTAGATACCTACCTCATAGTTGGCAATAGATATAATAGCACGTGTGCGTTACAAGCATTTAGTAAACTATTGCAAATAGCTGCTTCAATTATTTATTATATTTACACAAACCTTTACGTTAGGTACATACTTTCAAGGCAGATGAAGTCAATAGTAAGATAGATCTACTTAATGTAAAGGTAACCTACTTAATTGCACACTATAATAAGGTCTGTAAAGACAAGTGCTGCAAATAAACAAACCAGAACGGTTTCTAGTCATTTAATTATTAGATCCGTTAACTTGTCTCCATAGTAAGTATACCTACCATACCTACAAAGCAACTATACTATGAACCTAGTGCACAGTGCAGAAACATATTCCATTCAGAGCTGACAGGCAAAGTAAATTATAAAAGAAAGTTATAAAATGAATAATATTAAATTATGTATATTTATTTTATTATTGGCGATATTGTGTAGTGATAGCAAACGTTGGTATTCAGCATCAGTTACTGAAAGGGATGAACATTTCAAAGTAACAAATTTTCATGATTTCAATCCCAATTTTACACAGGACGATGCCCGAATATACATACCCGTATTGACAAAAAATAGTGTCAATCATATAGATGAAAAGTGGCACATTCCTGAAAGTCCTCAGTATAATGGCACATTAACCAGACTGCATAAATGGAATTTAAATCAGGATAATATTCAGTCTGGAAGTCTTAAACACCGAAATACGAATATAACAACTTCAGAAAAATCCACACTGAAGACGGAAGCAGTAAGATCTTATAATAATAACATAAACATCATAAACGTAATCAGGAGACGACCTAATAAGAAAACTATACGTAAAAAGTGTCCAATGGTAAAATACCACAGGGAAGATAAAAAATTATATTCAAATCTAACAGACAAACGCAGATTTCTGGAAGTATTCGAGGTAGTGCAATTTGAACACGTTTCTTGCGTGTCAAGCAGTGGACTAGAAGGTACTTGCTTACACGAGTATGATTGCCAAGCTTCTGAGGGCATCCCCATGGGTACTTGTGCCGATGGATATGGAACTTGCTGCGTAAGTAAGTACCTAGTTCAAAAATACTTATACAGTTCAAAAACTTGAAAGCAATCTAACGGCTCACCTAATAAAAACAGTTGTCTATAGACATTATTACCATCATCTTAACTGTCCACTACTGGACATAGGTCTCTCCTTTGCGGGGTTTTGCAACGTTTGGCAGACGTGTTGGTAACCGCAATTAGGTTTTGGTGATGTTTTAAGAGGGCCGCTGCTGCCTACCTTTTGACTATTAAATTCCCTTAGTCACCTCTTACACCCATAGAAAAGGAAGGAATGACCCATTCTATGGGCTATATTCACCATGGGCCCACCCTAGACATCATAAAATATTATGACGCTCATAATACCTCCATACGCTATCACTCCTTAGAATTAATATATTACACGTCTGTAATTTGCTGTATTCCACCTTTCAAACCCAAATATATCGATGCAAAGACAGCTTCATAATGATAAAAAAAAAACGACTTACAGCCTCCTTATGCGATATATTTAATTCGTCTATAATATTTTTGGAACGTATTTAAGAGCAACTTTTATAATTTTAGATGAATTCAAATGTGACGATCATGCCTCTGCTCTTGTTGGATGGTTTACTAATCCAGGTTTCCCTTCACCAAGCATGGAGAGACTGTCGTGTACAATTACATTGAGTAAAGCTTCCGAAGATATTAAACAGATACGCCTGGATTTTGTCAACTTTGAGGTAATCAGTGCATAATTTGGTTGAATGCATTATATTTTTCGAGTCGTTTTTTAGTCTCTGATTAAAATTAAATACAAAATTTGTGTCAATGGTAATTTCTAGTTAATATTTTGTATATTTATGCCTTTTTTAAGTTACTACCACCATCAGCTGGAACATGTGAAGAAGACCAATTTATTGTATCGGGACAAAATATTAATAATGTGATACCTATTTTATGTGGTATCAATACAGGCCAACATGGTATGTACTCTTTATTAAAATACTAAATGTAAATAAATATACGCTTTTGTTTTCGCTTTATTATAAGAAAAGAAAAATTTGGGGAGAGTGGGGGAATTAGCGCCATCTAAGTACGATTGTTAATAAAAATCACATTTGTTACCATTCAATTTCAAAATGTATATTATCACACTTGTTATACCTATCCTGTAATACAATAAATTATTGAACATAAATATAAATTAATAAAATACTTATTAAAATATTCCATAATAGTTATTCAAAACCATATTATATCCTGAAATAGTAATAGCTATAGTGAATGGCTATACCTACAGCTAGTTCTAAATAATAAAATATAATTTATTTAATTTCAGCATATTTAGAGGTCGGTGATGTGGACGGGCCTTTATATTTCTCAGTTCAAACTGTTTCTGCTGAAAACAGATTGTTCTCTATAAAGGTAATTAATAATTGTCTATCTATTTACTTACGCAGCTTCTAATGAAGCGCTATTTGACTGTTACGAAGGTCCAGCATAGTGTTTATACGTACAAAGTATAGGTTCAAATCTCGCCCATTATGATTTTTAAAATATGTATTTGTTTATAGATAAATAAGTGTATATAAAAATAAAAATGATTATTTCTTCTTACAGATTACACAATTGACGTCCTTTGACGAATTGGCAGCGCCAAATGGATGTTTCCAATTTTTTGTCGAATCTCACGGCTACATGGAATCGTTTAATTACCGTGACAAATCAGATATTGGGATACCAAGGTATCAAACTTATTTGGTAAGTTTTATATTATAGATATTTACAATAATTTAATCTTGTTTAGAAACGCTAACTAAATGCCTCTTGAGGTACCCACCTCTTACTTCCGATCAACATAGTAGTATCAGCACAATCCTACAGTTGCTAAATAAAATTATAGCATTACTACTATAGTTTGATTGCATTATAAAAGTAGGCAGTGTTCTGGGGGTCTACCATGAAATATTTTCCGAAATTTCGGGGACGAACGACACAAAAAAATTGATGTTAAAATTACATAACACATTTTTATGTATGTTTAAAATAATTAAAAATGTTAAAATATCATTTCTCTGGACTATTAGGATAGGATTTATAATGAACAAAATGTTAAGCTCCATTTACTGGGTCGATTTCAGTACGAACAAAAACACGAAATTGAGCCCGAAAATTCGAAATTTCATTTCATGGTACACCACCTGGTTTATGGGTGAAAATGACTTCTGGCAGTAAACTTATTACATTTTCTGGCAGAAGTAATCAACAATTAACAATGTCAGCACTGCTTTTGAATTTAGATACTTAGACGTTACTTTTTTTTTGCAGAATAACATGAATTATGCAATGTGCATTAAACGTGCACCGGGAACTTGCAGCGTGACTTACAGCAAGTCAGATAACATGCAAATAGTTAATTACGATACAGGTACTGCATTTAAAAAAAAAAAAACAATTCCACCCCACCGTAGTCTAATTTTCTATTTGAGGTGACTGATGATTTTAATTGTCACCAGAGGGAGACTTTGTACAAAAGTCGATTGCTTGTGTACCTGTCCCATTCGTGTTTCAACTGTGAAGCAGCTGTGTTTCGGTTTGAAGGGTGGGATATGGCATGAATTTACTGGGTACACAGGAATAACACCTGAGTCCTCAGGAATGGCAACGCATGGGGGGTATCATGAGCGAAACAGTATACTCTGTTATGTCTATAGGCGACGGTTACCACTTACCATCAGGTGGACCGTCAGCTTGTTTGCCATTCTAAGTTGTATAAAAAAAAAATTGTTATAGTGTAGATTAGGAATACCTAAAGCAGGTTCCTTGGGACCTAGAGGTTCCGTAAAAAGTCACTAGGGCCGCAAAATTATATATGTTTAGCTGTTAATAATACTTTAATTAAGAGTACAAATATTATTTTGAAATAGTGTAAAATAAATGACGAAAAGAACTCATTACTGATGCATAAGTAGATAGGTAATTAGCGATTCAGCTCGGACTACGGCGCAGCATTTTATTTTATATTTTATTTGTTTTAATGTTTTATTTTGATTTTATTGATATGGGGTTGTTAAAATTAAAATTGTATTTCATGATCTTAATATTTTAAAGATCCCCGGTGTGGATGATAATGCATTATATATTATTAAATTTCAGATGGCTTGCCAGTTATTCCACCTGGACAAGCAGGAGTGGAAATATTCAATTGTCCTAACGATTGGTTGCTTATATCAGCAATAAGACTTTGCGGTGATAGATTAAACGACGGTTCAGTATTGCAAGATTTCTCTTTAGATGCTTCCATTACTGGTATGTACTGGTTTTATCAACGAAAAATTGCCTGTAGGCTATTACGCAGTGGAATATGCTGGCGGGGTATCCATTAGGATGATAGGTTAGAATGAAAATGCAGGTCAGTTATCCCATTGTGATAAATACACCTGAAATTCAGCACCATGGTTTCCAAGGGGACCACGTGCAGGTCGACCTGACAGGTTATTTTTTTAATAGGTAATAATAGTTTGGTTTTTAGTGGGTGATGACAGAATGATAATCTCACCTGCGCTAACGGTATATATGTGCGGGGCACTAATAAAAATGATGACAGGTGAGGATAAAAAGGTCAGTTAGCCCATCGTGATCAATTCACCTGGAATTCAGCACGATGGTTTCCAGAGGGAAACATGTGGAGGTCGATCTGGTTAGGTATATTACTAGCAATACGGCCCCTGGTCTGCATTATTAATGATAACCTCGCCTGCGCTATCTGTATACACTGGCAGGTTACCACAGTGAGGAATGATATGCGAAGATGAAAAGGCAGGTCAGTTGGTCTATCATGTCATGGTTTCCAAGGAGATCCACGTGTAGGTCGACTTGATAGAGTATAATGATAACAACGAGATTGGTAGTCTGTATTACTAACAATCCCTTTTCCCCCGACTGTGGACTGTTAACTAGGTACTTGAAGTGTTCTACGAAACCATCTTCAAAAACTCAGTGTTTCATTGCATGTAACATTAGTCTCTTTCAATAAAACGTAATGAAAATTTATATAAACGAATAATTAACCGGATCATAAGACAGCTGATGTCCAAATAACACAATCATCATAGACTGTGTGACGCCATTGCGTCGCTATTCCTGAAGACTACGAGTATATTGTTGTTATGTCTATATAGTCTATAATTTATATCGCCGTACAAGCTTAGCTAGTGGACAAAATCACGAATGCTGAACAACACCTAAATCAAGCTATTTATTAGGTATCACAGTATAAAAAAAACTCTACTATGAGGAGGGCTAAGTTCCTTTATTAAGGATACGTTTGCTACCACGCTGGTTTTTTAGAAAATTTCATAAATCCGAGTAGTGGAATAAACCCCATAATGAATCAAACTAATGTTAATTTCAGATAATAATGGAGGCCCAATTGTGGTTTGGTTTAGATCAGACGGTGGGTATGTTGGTCGTGGTTTTAAACTACATTACCAACAGAATACATGTAATGATCGTGCCGTTTGATTTACTTAATAATTTTAACCATCGTAGTTAATTTACGAAAATAAATAAATCGAGACTAATATAAGGAATGTTTTATTTATAATTACAAATTAACATTACTTAACTGATAATCATTTTAATATATTTAATTATAATTAATAGAATAAGGCACAAAAAACCTTATATTTTAGATAGACAAATTCATTTTCACAATAATATTTAGATACTTAAACAACATAGGCGTTTATCGTGGAGGGCCGTATGGACTGTGCTCACCTCAGAATTGTCTGATGCCTTACTCAGGATCTTAGCAAGAGCTTCCAGCTATGCACAAAGAAGGTACATTATCTGAGATAGCATACATGCTTTTTTTAAAAGCCCGGGCCCCCTAGAAAAATACTAAATACACATATGCTAAATGACGTTTTTCAACTATTTATATATAATAATACATCAGAGGCAAATCGGTGAGCTACAGTCTAAGCCACAAACCACAGTCATGTTTATTTTGTTATCCTAATATTAGTTGTGACTAGGTAGTATAAGTATGATTAGGAATAACGAACACAGCGGCTGGATTATTTAACTAAGTTTTATTAAATCTGATGGAATGTGGCCATTTTGCAATTAGAGAAGTAATGGAGTTCAATGGAATTTAATTAAAATGTAAATAAATTAATAATTTACTCGACCAAAATGTAATGTTCTGATGTTCAATAGTAATACAAATAAAAAATGGATTGATGGTTTGAATACTTATTGAAATTTGATGCTAAATTTCATTTAGTGTTTCCTTAACAATTTATAAAATTTTATTAACTTTTCATTAAATTCTATTGAAATAGACCATAGACTATTTTAAGTTTATTTTGTCCTTATTGGGATTTTTAACAGTTTTAGTTACCAGTCGAATGATATGGTTTGTAACTAAACTGGCGAATGGTAAATCTAAAATCATGAAACTGACAGTTTCAATCTCTTTCTACAAGAATTGTTAGCAAGTTAGTTAAATAAAACAGCCGCACATAAAATATCTTTGGTCACCTTGGTTTAGTTGGTAGCTTTATATAAATACTGAACTGAGTTAGTACTTGTAGTGGAAACATTCGAGTGACAACCCCGTACAGATAATCTCAATATAGGTGATCCCCGCTAGTTGGAGTGATGGTCTCAAATGTGTGTCAAGGAAGTAGTGGCTGCAGATGGTGCAGACTGGGAACCATTAAATATTACAGAAATGATATTGATGATTATAAATTGTTCATATTTATATAATTATACATGTAATTTTAAGTAGATACAATAATAATGACGTAAGTATTCTGTCCAAATAGTGAGTGTTCTACTTTATAGATAGCACTAATAACTCAAATTCTAATCTGAGTAGAACATTGAATGTATACCAGTTATGTTAAATAAGAAATCATAATTTTGTTAAACAATGTTGCAGAAGGTATAGGTATTACTAGTAAAATTAGAGCATATATTGATAATTGGTTACCTCAGTATCTACTTGTTTTACGCACCACTAAACAATAAAACTCATAAAGAAGTTGCAACTGCTGAATTACAATCAGTTGTGTAACATATTACATAAAATAGACTTTCTACAAATCCTTTGCTCTGTACATAAATATATATGGTAACAACAAGTTTATGAAGGTGTTTTGATATTTACTAATAACATATTACAATGTTTTCCCATAGGATAATTTATAATCATTCATATTTCAATAAAAATATTTTACTTTTGCATAAGATATGTAGAAAACAACATTTAATTTAAAATTTGTGTTAACATTAATAACTTGGAGCTAGTAATGTGGAGAACAGCTACATTACCTGGAGTATCCTATAGCTTTACTTCACATTTAAAAATTATTGAGTACCATTATTTTTCAAATGTGAAATATGAATAAATGCTTATTCATTTCAATTATATTAGATGTATTAATTTTTTAAGAATAGTTGTTATACAACTATATACAATAATCTTCATACAAAAATATATTTGCCACCCATACTAACAAGCTAAAGAACATATATTATTATAACAAAGAATCTTTGATAGACATTATAACCACAAATTTTTCCTTACAAAAATCAAGCTATGGATTAATACATTTTATTATAATATGTGATACATGTGTGTGAGTATACATCATTATAGTTATACATTAATAAATTTATACATAAATCCATGCAGCAGTGGGTATAAAAACAAATTATTTATTTTTATTTTCTTCTTTTTTATGTTTTTCAGTAAAACCATCTTTAACAATCTTATTGAAAGTCATAATAAAATTTACCATTACAGCTCTAAGTAATCCCATAGAAAATACCTGTATTAAAACTTGTGTAGTACTTTCAACAGATGCACCAAACAAAATTGATAGCAGTCTTCCAGACATACTGTATACAGAATATACTTTTCCAACCTGAAATGCAAGTAATTACTTTTAGAAATCATAGAAACTTAAAAGAAGTAGTATAGATAAATGAAATAAAGTTATAATTTATACAAAAACTTTATGTTCAATGAAAAAAATATCCTTGTGACTATTGATCTTTTTTTAACAAAAAATACATGTTATAGTTCCTATTCTTTCTTATTAGGATTTTTCATTTCATTGCATTTTTATGTTTAAATTAATAAAAATGGTAAAATAATAAAATAAGCTTACAGTAATATATAAATACATTTTTTAAAATAAAGTTTGAGCTTACAGATAGCAGTTTTAAACTTAGAATTAATTTACTACAATTTAATAGATTTTTAATAAATCTGTATCTTTGATTTGGGAATCATTGGTCTAATAAACTACTGACTTAAATTACAATATACCTTACCATTGCATCATGGATAAGTTTCTTGCCAATTTCCTGTGGTGAATGCAAACCTCCAGTACCAGAGATGAGCTTAGTTTCTTTTGGTTTTGTCAATTCTTCATTCTTTAAGCCAGGTGTGTCAGTATCGGGCGGAAATGATACTGTCAACCTGACCGCAGTACCCACTAACTCCATTTGAATTGCTTCTGCTAAACCACGCAAAGCCCATTTAGCTGCACTGTATGCACTATAGCCGTAAATTCCTGTTAAACAAATATTATATTACTGGACACCACTATGAACATCAATACTTTGTGACACCCATGATACCTCTTAGACATTGCCTTTCTTAAGGACTATGGTATTGTGTCTAACAAAAATACTTATTTTACTCAATGAGTTAATTTAGTATCCCTAATTATATCTAATAAGTAATTAAAAAATTAAAAATATCATTACCATAAACAAAAGATAAAATATGAAAATATAATAAATAACACTCACCAATGAACGCTGCTTCTGAAGCAACAAAAACAATAACACCTTCATTTCTCTTTTTCATACCAGGTAAAACATACTTAGTTGAGTAAGCTGTTCCAAAGTAATTAAGATCAATCATTTGTTTTATATCTTCCACTTTCATTTCTTCAAACTTCCCACAAATGCACATTCCGGCACAATTCACTAGCATAAATATGGGTGCGATATCGTTTTCCAGAGTCGATAAACATTTTGCTATGGTATCATAATCTGATGTAACGTCTAATGAAACATATTGTATTTTTTGGGCGTTTTTATCTAAACATTGAGTTATAATTTCACTGACTGTTGACTTCAAATTATCCACATTGCGACCTATAATGCTAACATGTGCTCCTAATTTAGCTGCTTCTATAGCTGCCGCTTTTCCTATGCCGCTAGAGCCACCGGTGATAACAACATGTTTTTGATGCAAATTCTTATATACAGTTTTCTTTTCTAATGAAGTATTTAATATATATGCTAATAGAACTACTACAGTTATAATAATAATTGCAAAGTAAATAATCATATTATCCTTTTTTTATCACCACAAAACAAGCAATTAATATGGACCACAATACTATAAGTAAACTTTTAAAATTAAAATACAATCTAAAACGAGAGGAAGCTAAAATCCACTAAAAAAATAATAATAAAAAGAAATAAGGCAACAAGCCAAAGATACAGCGAATAATGAGTGACTCAAATCAATTGCATAGATTATGAACTATCAAATAACTCGAGTTACTCAAGTTATAGTCTCATCGAGTTAATTCAAGTTCTCAGTTGACTCGTAGACTCCAGGAATTCCTTATTCTTAGCTTCAGAGTCATGATTAGTCAGTTATACGTGAATCTGAATGGTTTCAGTATTCGCTTAATTAGTAATTACTAATTTGATAATTTGAATACACACCTAGCAATTTCCGTGTACTTTAAAAAAATTTTACTAATTAGTAACTAATAACAACAAAAACCTTATATATATATATATATATATATATATATATATGATAGGATGTCTGGTAATGAATGGATAACCTTGACGTCTTATGGATAATGTCTTATAGTTCAACTTATGGCCGTCCTAAAAAAAATACGAAACAAAATATATCATAAGTAGTACCTTTAATACCTTTATTTTAAAAAAAGTCAAATTTTTTCTTTCTTATTTTATTGTCTTGATCACTATGACCAGAAATGAATGAATTCTATTGGTTTTTTGTTACTTTATTATTATACACTAACTATGCTGATAGATAGAAAGTGAATAGTGACTAGCTATTGCAGTTTTTTTTTAATACACAATTTTTTTTTTTTTAATATTATTTTAAGGGCTTTTACCTTTTTCAGGTATATCAGTCCTATTGTACCCTGAACTGATTTCTCAAACAAAACTTAAAATTAATTTATTTTTAAAAATATGCAAAAAAAAAAGTTTTTACAATCTTTATACCTCAGCTATAGTTTGTTTTGCTCTACCTATTTCAAATATTTCGAAGCATATAAGTAACATATTTATACATCTGAATATATTAAAGCTAGATTGTTATTACTGTTTAAAATAAATAAAAATGTAATCGGTATCCTGTAAAATTTTGTTAAAGTAGGATGATTCAAACCGTTTATGGGTGAAAAAATATTGTTATTTAGAGTTATCAAAACTGTAAACTAAGGTTATTAAATAAGTTAGAAAATGATTTCATGTTATCAATTATCAATATAGATTTTATACACCTCGTTTTACATAACTGAATATCAGTCTATAATTGATTATCAATGATTATTTACAACACTAGAGTAATACTCACCTAAGGAGTGACTGACTGACTTTGACTGATAAACTTTCTAGTCTGGACTGATCAATCAATCAACTATTATTTTGCTGACTGACAAAAATTGCCAAAAACGCAATCCACTAAACAGTTCTCTTAAAAAAAATCTATTTGCATTAGCGTAAAAAGTGAAATAATATAGGTATAGGATAATTATAAATTTGTCGTGTTTTTGTGGTTATTCCAATATATTTTTTAAACATCTTCGAATCTCATACCAGTTTAAAAACTACGTCAGAGTAGGTAATACCACTTTAATTCCTTACAAGACAATTTTTGTATTAGTATACATTATCGGGAGTAAAATGAATTATGAGACGAACAGGCTTAATACATTTACGAATTGGCCTACTTCAGCTCCAGTAGATCCTATAAGGATAGCTAAAGCTGGTTTTTATTACACCGGGGTGGGTACAGAAGTTCAGTGTTTTAATTGTAGTGGTAAAATATCTGAGTGGAACTACGGCGATCAGGTCATGTGGCGTCATCGGCAGCTAGATCCTAACTGCGAGTTTGTAGTGAATCCACAGCAATCAGGGAATGTACCTCTTGTGCTAGGATCTGAGTGCCCTTCTAATATAGACCCTACGGCGTCGTGGTCTGCTTCTAATGATCAACAACATGACCCTATAGAATCATCTCAAGATTACGGACTGACTGAAGAAGACGAAGTGTACAAAAGTGATGCATTGCGGCTATTATCTTTTGTCAACTGGAATGTAAGGCTACTTTTATATTTATGTTTCTGCAGTATTACCAGTTTTAATACTACAATTTATAATTATTTATTTTCTTTTTGAGATTTAAGCCTTTTGATAGAAAACAAAATATTTGAAAAAACTGTTTCTAGCAATACCTATATTCTGAAATTTAGCACAAAACTAATAAGTAATAATAAGTAACATCAATAATAAGGGACTTTTCAGAATCTATCGTGTGATGTAAACAGTGAATGTTGATAAATAATATATAATAATATACATTTAAATCTTATCTAAATCACACAAACAAACACTTATATAACATCATGTACTTATTGGTGTATAAAATTGTTCTATACTATTTTAATTGCATTATTCTCAAATTAGGTTTTTATACCCATTTTGATATAGGTCTTTTATAAATACTATCTGTCCTTTTTGATATAGGTCTTTCATAAATACCATATACCCTATATTACTAGTAATGGGACTGTTATTCCTTATCATTAATAATGCCTTTCCCCACCTTATACCTATGTTATTTTTTTTATAATAGGTACAACAAGCACTTAGTACTTTTTTTATACTTTATTATCTAGGATTGATTAGACTAAACTTTATGGTTGGGCTATTTCAAATATGACAATTATGTATTCACAGTCTAAAAAAAGTTCTAAGAAATGTATTGTGAAAAATAAATAACCTTGGTTTTGTTATAGGTAGGAACTTAAATGTAAATATATTAAGTAAATGAAACTTGAGAATACTATGAATTGGTTATATTGACCTCTAATAACTTTACAGTGTATCAAGGTTATAAGTAGATTGCAACCAAAAGAGTTATTTGAAGCCTATTCTTGTATGTGACCTTGTATCCACCTGTGATACTAATAAAACAATAACTGTTTAAGTAACTATTTTCCATGGGGGTAATATAGTGAACTTTTAGAAATTTACTTAGAATTTATTTTAAAGGATAGACACAAGCACATAGTAATCACATAATTTATATAAACAAAAATAGATAATAACCTTAATGTAACAACTTACAATAAACAATTTACCATTTATATCAAATCAAATAAAGTAATAGAGATGTGTTTAGGTGCATGCCTGATGGCCAAAATGGGTCTGTACTTGGGCTTTCTTTAGCTTATATGGTTCTGGTGATATGTGGAGATAACAAAGTAGTGGTATATTACTAACAGTATTATAATATTAGAGAATGCACACATTATATACTTATAGTGGCTTGTCCACTACTATTTGAACAAACTACTATAAGTCCACAATTTATTGTCCTATACTGATTACTCAGTAAATGGTATTTTACCTTTATCTATACATATAGGTGTATAGATAGAGGTAAAATAGTAGCTTGATAAATATCTGTTTGACCTGGAAAGATCATATTTATCTTTTTATTCATCTTGACTGCAATTGTACCTTATTCATTCAAATTTAATCGTCATTGATAGTTAAACTGCCAGATTATGCTAGTTTATTGTATGTGTTTAATGCAAGGAATAGTTGTTTATAATTTATGTATATTTTATAAATGACTAACAAAATTAAGGAAATATTTCTTTTATTGCAAAAATAATAATAATCAGATTGTCATCCCTGTATTTTACTTGAGAATGCTGTATCAATCTAGTAATATTTATGCAATAAATATTATTTGTACTTACAATACTTTTAACAAATGTTTTTTTCATGAAGACCTTCAGAAGTGAATATTTTTTTTTTATGAAAAGTTTTCTTCTAGTGGAGGTTCAAGTATTATGTAACATAATTGGGTTGGTCTTGTAAATCATTATGATGCATCATAATTTATATATTATGTAACATATTTTGTTTAAATGAAAAAAACTAAAGAACTTGTATGGGGGAATCCCTCAATTGTATTGTATGTCATTTTTATTTTGTTTTCATTGCCAGTATTCATGTTGCGATTTTTAAGTAAGTTAAATGGTCACTTGGGTGTTACGTAATGTAGGGGGGTACAGAAAAATGTTACGGTGCATTACATGGGGGGGGGGGGGAGGTTCTAAAATCATATTAAAAGATCGTAGAATAGTGTCTTTTTTAATTCTAGTTTATGTTGAGCGGCTTCAGTATACCTGAATGACTATGTCAACATAGGAAATGTTCGAATATTACATTTATATATATATATATATATATATATACGTTTTGGTGAAGTATATTAACTCTTAACTGCAAACCCATTTATTGTAGTATAATATTCCTGAGAATAATTTTGATTTTGTTTTAGGATACTTCAGTATCCCGTGAAGCTTTAGCGAGTGCTGGTTTTTATCATGTAGGAGAGGGTCGCCTTCGCTGTGCTTGGTGTGGTGGCGAACTAGCCCCATTTAGACAATTTGGTACACTTGGGCCTCCACTTGAAGTGCACAGAATGTAAGTATCATGTTATGTATTTATATAATTTATTTACTTAAATAAAAATAAACCACACTTCTGATTTTATTTTCTTTTTTGTAAAATGTAAATATAGTGAAGTAATATAATAATATTTATTTATTTAACATAAACAGACAGCTATAACAATACATAATTATACACTTAAATAATAATGTTACAGCCACTAAAGTTTGCACAAATGTATAATGCAAGTGAAGGATATAATAATATTAAATTGTTTATAATCCTAATATCTAACTTTTGCACTTTTGTAGAATTTTAATGATGTACTAAATTTCTTTTCAAGAAAATAAAATCCATTTATAGAATATCCACTTAATTATGCTATAGTGTACATTTTGAAAATTGTATTCACTTTTGCTTCTTTTATACTTTGATTTTAGGTACTTCCCTAGATGCGAACACGCCGCATCGCTAGAGGCGTCCCGACAAGTTAACCACTTTTCGCCACCAGCGTCGCCACAGCCGCAAACACCGCCTGCACAGTCACCACCAGAAACTGAAGAAAACCATTCACAATCGTGAGTCATTTAATTTACCCATCCATTCATAAGTTCTAGGAATTCATAATTCTCGGATTTGATGAATTTTAATAATTGTGTTTGTAAGTTCATTTACCTGATCATTAATAATAATGAATAATTGATATGTGTTATAATCTTATAATCACCAAATTATTGAATAAATTTAAAATGTAACTGAATTTCTATCAAACTATACCGATTAATATTTAGCTTAAAATCCTTTCATAATATTGTTTAATAATAATATACTACGTGGTTATGTAGTAAAAATACAAATATTAACTTATTTATTTGCTAAGATAATGATTTCTACATCAATATAGAAAACAAAATTTGGCTTGATATAGGGCTTTATTTTTATTTGCACTAGTGTATTGGCTAGCGTTGTAATAGTGGACAATATGGTCTTCTTATGGTTCAGCAGTATGACATAATGGGCTTTTTTCAGTAGAGATTCTCACAGCATAGGAGCTTATAGGGTATATCTCAGGTATAATGCGTAGGGAAAAGATAGAGGTGAATTATTGTCGGAGGAGAGATATAGATGGATGGAATAGAAGTAAAGTGAAGCACCCAATTATTGTACATACAGCTTTTCAAAACTTTTTAATTAATGAAAAACATTTTTTTTCTTATTATAAATACATTACTTAGGTAACGTATATGCCATACATTCAAAAATGCTGTTAAAGTAAAACTCAACAATCAAACTATTTTTTTTTTGCTTATATCTATAATTTTTATTTCTATTTAGATATCATATAAATAAAATGGGGTCTAAATTCTGTAACTAATCTTATTGCTAGATGTGAATACCAACACTTCCACATTTCTTTCTGGCTTTATTTGTATAAAGATGAGTATTTATGTTGTTCTCTATTTAAGAACTGGTGCCGAGCACAATGCTCGTCTGCTGGAGGCGGGCGGCACTTGGCGTTCGCTTGGCGTCGTAGGCGGTGGGGCCCGTCACCCCACGCGAGCATCGCTAGCAGCGCGTCTTGCAACCTTCGAGCGCTGGCCTGCGGACCGCACACAGGTGCCCATGGCATTAGCTGAAGCGGGCTTCTTCTATACTGGTACTGATGATCAGGTAAGTTTCGTCAATTGTGTTGTTTTTCATTAGATGGTCAATCAGTTGTCATGAACTTTGATATACAGATAATGTTTGCGATGAAGAAAGATAGGCCATCAACAACATAAATACAACAAAATAAATATTTTATAGTATGAAACAAGATGGCTGTGTAGTCCCGGCATAGATTATGCTACCCCTTCCTTTCCCGTGGGTATCGTAAGAGACGACTAACAGAGGGTGAGGCATGGGCAGCAGCGTCTCTCTTAAAACATCTCTAAAGCTTGTCAATCCGCCTTCTAAGCGTGGCAACTACTGACAAAACCCTCCAAAGGGGAGGCTTGTGTTCAACAATGAACATTTAAAGGCTGATGTGAAGATGACGATAAAACAAGACTGGCGCTAAATACTAGCATTTTTTTTAATGGATGATAATGGAATTTTAATCCCATCTGCACTATCGATATATACTGACGGTACCCCAGTTAGGAATGATAGATGAGCATGAAATCAGATCAGTTAGCCCATCGTGATATACTACAACAAGTAATAATCACGACCTGACGGGGCTTGCTAGCAATGGGACCATTAGTCCCCACTACTAACAATCCCTTTCCTCTAAATATTAGCACTGTGTGATAGTTATACTGCCACCGAGACTGATAATTAGTTCTATGTAAAAAGTGGCCTAATAAGGGTGGTGTTACATTGCAGGTGAGATGTTTCTACTGCGACGGGGGGCTCGGTAAGTGGGAGGCGGGTGATGCACCGTGGTCGGAGCACGCGCACTGGTTCCCGCACTGCGGTTACGTGTTACTGCTCAAAGGACAGGATTTCGTCGACTCCTGCCGCAACCGCACCTCCGTGCAACGGACCGTGAGTCTTACCAACTTTTTATCTAATTTCAAAATGGTATTTTTATTTATCTTTAAAAATACTATCATGTATGTGTTAATGTCTTAGTTCTACTTATTTATACAAATGTATATAAAATGCAAGAATTCAATTGTATCAATAGATCGTGTACACTTTGCCTAGAGAGTCTGGTCCTCATTCTATATCATTTTAATATAATATCATATAAATCCGTGTCACTATGTTTGTTCACTCTAATCTCCGAAACTGATGAACCAATTTTAATGAAATTTATATTTAGGTTTGTGGTTGTAAGGGACAAGACAATGTTTAACAGGTCAGCTAGATTTATTATATTTCTTGTGGTCTGTATTGGTATTATAAAATGGATTTTTCTTTTTGCAGTTCTCTGCTGATAGTGGTTTAAGTGCACGAAGAAGAAATCCCGGTGTTAACTTCTCTATTACTGAAAGCCAAGTCAGTATACTTTCATATGCTATAGTATAATTTTGGATTCTAAATTTTTGTTAATAGTTCACAGCTTAAGCTTTCAGTATTCACCACAATTAAGTTCACAGAGTAAGGATCGTCTATTTGTGACTACCACTATTGTCAGCTTTTTGGTCTTACGGTTAATGAGTGGATATACCAAACTGGAACCCAAAATAAGTATTTATAAAACTAAAATATAGACCCCACTGTCTCATGATTGATTTCATATAAAAATATTTTCATATTTCAACTATATTTCTGGATGCAAATTGCTCAGTTTCATGCATACCTACTATCACCAGGTTTCGGTTTGTTATATTTTTACGTTTAATGTTAAATGCAGGTAGAAGAATGTATGGAGAGTAGCGCAGCACTAGCGGCTTTGAATGCTGGACTGGACGCGGCTCGTGTTCGGCGAGCTCTGGCACGACGACTGCGAGCCACAGGTACATCTTTGCCCGTACTTGTACTCGCATACTCATTTGCACCTGTACTCAGCTTTATATCTGTTCTCATCTTACCAACACTCACACCCGCATACACATCCATACTTACGTTCGGACACTGTACTCACCTATATTAATATAAAATTTTCATATATTACATTTATTTACTAATTATGAAATCTTATAAATATTATAAATAAAAGTCGGTTTCCTTGTTAGGTCTTGATTCTTTAATGGTTTAACCAATCATTATGAAATGAAACTTGTGATCTTAATTAATCAATATATCCTGGCCATATGGACGAAATGGTAAGTAACAACTAGCTATGAATAAGTTCACCTCTTTTAGATGTAGTAATGAAAATTATTTATTGTGTATTTTTTTACTCAGCTCTATTGGCTTGAAATACATATATTTATCATATATACATATCATTTGTTCAGTTATTAATTAAGAAAGTATATATCACATTTATAAACTTTCAGCTTTGATATACATATTAGTATGATATCATATTAGTATATATAATTAATGTGTATGTTAAATGATTGCAGGCCTTCCGTTCAACTCATCAGAGGCATTGATTGATGCTGTCCTAGACGAACAGTTGAACGAGGAGGCATGGAGCGTGTCACCGCAGAGCCATCGGTTCGCGAGGGACATACTCGCTGAAACGCTCAGGGAGTTCGCGCCCATGTCTGGGTATGTATATTATTTCATGCATTTTAATTTAAATATGCAAATTAGTAATAATTGATAATTTAACAAATTCTAACACAAAACCAAAATGGGGAAAAGGGATTGTTAGTAATGTGGTCTAACTAACCCATCGTCAACAATGCACCCTATCAGGTCGACCTCCAAGTACTTCCCCTTGAAATACGAATTCCACTAATGGTGCCCCGCGTACCGATAGCACAGGCGGGGCTACCATTTTAATATCACCCACACATACACATTCTACATAAAAAATGTAGATCTTTAATGGTCGAGTCAAACTTCAATCAGTGAGATGTGAAATATACTGCTAATGTATTAAATTAATAGTCATAACTAATGAAAAAAATATAAATCTTTGGTGGTGTTGTAAAGGGGCAATGTTGCCCATCCCTAGAAATTGCTTTAATCACTTCTTACGACACTCCCGGGAGAGGAAAAGGTGGTCTATTTTATGTGGGGGCCATATGGTTTACAAAAAAAGATATAGATCTCTTTATGCGGTTTAGTTAAGTTTTTTTTTTATATATATTTGTATCAAAGTAATTTAAAAACGAAAATGTATCCATTTTCATATTGTGATTACTTTATAATGATTTAAACCACATAATCATTTACATTTTTGTAAACTAAATTTGTCAATTATATGCAGTTCTTTTAAAATAATAATGATATAAAAATATCTAATGTAACCATAATACATATTTAACAGTATAATCCCAACACAATGGGATGGGCGGCCTGAGAGTCGGGAATCCTCTGCAAGTCCTACGAGATCAGCATCACCAGTGGATAATAGACCTACAACTACTCATCAAGAAGAGCCAGATTCCAGTGATAACTTATTTACTAACGCTGTTGTAACTGAAAATAAAAATAATGTAGAAATAGATTCTACGACAACTCCTGTACAGGAGACTCCTGTGCCAGAAAATAAAACAATATCTTTAGAAGAGGAGAATAGACAATTAAAGGAAGCAAGATTGTGTAAAGTATGTATGGATAATGAGGTAAGTGTGATTTTGTATTCTGAAATATTACAGTAATTTTTATTTTGTTGTGTGTTTATATAATATTTTTAATTAAAGATTTGATTTCTATTTTATCTAAATTATTCCTTATTTAATTTTTTTATTATTGAGGCCCCTGTTTTTGTCTAACAAAATCTTAGAATAAATTAGATATTTTTTATGAATAATATCAATAATAATACCAGAGGGAGACTTTGTACAGCTTTGGACTTTGCTTGGCACCTCTGTCACATTCGTGTTTCTACCGTGTTTCGGTTTGAAGGGTGGGATATGGCAGTTAATTTACAGGGTACAGAGGAATAACACCTGAGTACTCAGGAATGGCAATACATGGAAGGTATCATGGGCGAAACAGTATACTCTGTTATGGTCATGATACTGTTCATGTCTATAGGCGACGGTTTCCATTAGGTGGGCCGTCAGTTGTTTGCCATTCTAAGTTGCATAAAAAAATATTAATTTTTTTTTATGGAATTGTGAGCTCTTGATTACCTGGATAATGGTAACCATGGTCTATAAACAAGGACACCATGCATATCATAGTATACAGTGACGCGTACACCTCATGCATTACCATTATCTAAGGATTAAAATGCTATCCCCTCGTACGTTATATATGTACTGCATAATTTAATTGCATAACACGATTATGTTACAGGTGAGCGTGGTATTCTTGCCGTGTGGACATTTGGTGTCTTGCGCCCGATGCGGCGCGGCACTGTCCGCTTGTCCGCTGTGTCGCGCTTCCGTACGGGCGCTCGTACGAGCCTACCTCGCCTGACGGCGGCAGGTAAGTGTATCGCACAGGCCTCTAATAATACACTTATTAACCTACCCTCTAATATAATATTAATAATACACTATTAACTACTCAGGTTTAGTACGGCTTCAAATGTTATATACAAACTTTCCATAAAAAATATCCAAATAACAGTGAAGTTTTTATCAAAGTCTGTTACATGAAATAGATAGATTCAAAAATTGACTTTGTTTATACTATTTGAAGATGTTTTCCTTGCTATTTTGTCAAGCCAATGATGCAGCCATTGTCGTTTAATGAAGTAATGATGTTGGGGCAACAGACCTCCGCAGTATTCGCGTAAGGAGTATATAGTATGCATGTGAAGGTTGTTGTGGTTGATGGTGAACATTGAATCCCAAATGAGCTATCCATCTGATGAAAAATAATCATCACCTACAGACATAATTATTCTTCATCATTAGGAATATCATTAGTATCCCTTTATCATCAAATCATATTAGTCGTTAACTGTCTATTGCTGAACATTGGCCTTCCCCATAAGGGGGTTTGCCAGTAGTTGCCACGCTTGGCAGGCGGGTTGGCAACCGCAGTTAGGTTTTGGTAATGTTTTAAGAAGGATGCTACTACCCATTCCTCAACCGTTAAGTTCTCTTAGTTCCCTCTTACGACACCCACAGGAAATGGCCCATTCCATGCCGGAATCACACGGCTAACGTATCTCATTATACTATTAGATAATTACAATTGTTGGGCTCTTGCGCTCATGTATCATGTTTTGTTTCTGTACCTGCCTCTGACGACATCATCGAGATTAAAATAGTCCACCTTATAGTCTTACTCCATCATTACAAGGACATTATATTTCTACATACATCTAAAATATATATATTTGAGTGTATATTCATTTTAAATGAATTGATTTGAGGGATATTTGGTACTTAACCCTTAATTTGATATTGTCCACTACACCGAACACGAACTTTAAAAAAATCCAAGTCATTCAAATTTGTAATTTATTTATGGCAATTAAATTTAAATTACTTCGCAATTTACTCAACTACTTGAAAACAAAAATTTGTAGTAGAAAAAAAAAATGAAAATCAAGAAGATATTTCGTTAGAAAACATAGTCGTATCTACTTTGGCAGTGCCCGCCACAGAGAACATGCATTTTTTCAAAAAGGGGAAGAACATATTTTTTCATTATTATTTTTTACAAAGTCCGTAAATATCTTAAAACATATATTATTCATAAAATAAAAGAAAATAAGATTTTTTCTGCCAAATTAAGGGTAAAGTAGATCAGTTCCGTGTATAACATACAAGATACCTTTTACCTTAATTCATGCAGGAGAAACTGTAGACTACAACTAGAAATCCTAATCCTATACCACTTTAACGTCTTGACCAATCACTATGAAATTTAGCATACATGTACTATATGGGATAGATATATAGACAACTTTTTAATCCTTTGTTTATTATATTTTTTTGTTTGTGCACATATTGTTAATATTTATAACTAGTATAATTTGTAATTTATAAACTCAATAAACGCTATTATTATTATTATATTATTCCGGTCACGTGGATGAAGTCGCGGGTAGAAGCTAGTATATAATATTAATAAAACTACATATTGTTTACAGATCGAGATTATTGTGAAACAAGATAAGTTGATAATACGTCAAGTCTTCAACAAGCATTCAAGTGCATTAGCTATCCACGTGTTGTAGTTATTGTGTTGATTAATTGCTAAGGCATTACCCTGTAGTAAGTTACGTCTATAATATTTACATTAATACATTAGGCCTACATCAAATGTACGCTAGTAGTGTATTGTTGGGTTGGTATGTAGAGATACGCCGAATCAGATTGTCGATTATTATTTTCAACTCCTAATAGGTATTCAGACATTCGAGTACTCAAAATATAGAATTCGTATACACAATATTCGGATACCGGTTACGAGTTCTTATGGTATTTAATTCGCGTACTTAAATTGTAAATTAATGAAAAAGATCATTCGAAAATTTCATTTGTTCAAATCCTCTAATTGGAGTCCTGACGACTCTTTTTGTAATCAGTACCCAGATGTTTGAATACAAAAAAAAATGCTGATTCGGCTATCAGTAGTTGGATGTGTAAATTCATATTTGATTCAATGGAAATGGACACCTACGATTAACGGTGTTTAATTTCTAGGTTTGACTTAGCCAAAATTTAGTTTTAACGGTGTAATCGGTCGGTCTTTTTTGAGACTACCCAGTAGTTGTTTAATAAAGATCAAATCTCAACACCAGCATGCTAGTTAAATTGTTTTAAATTTTATATTGAAGTTTATATACTTAACCATTGTTTTTAATTTTTTGTTACAGTTTTATTACATTAAAAAAAAATTACATCATTTTACTTTATGCTACTCGAGATTATTTTGTAATCATAAATTCGGAGATAGGCATGCGTTAGGAACTTGCTATCGTGCTTTGAATAGAAAACAATTATGAGAATTGATTTTAATAAAATTTGAGATATCGGTAGGGGTCGCTAGCCTAATCAACCAAAGTGACATGTTTAAAAAGGGCCGAGTACTAGTTACCTACGAACTTGTACCTTTTGATTGATGAATGTGGAGCAAGTGATGGCAATTTTTTTTATTGAAGCCTTTGACGTGTTATTGTTTTTTCCTACCCCAAAAAAACTATGTTATGAACGAAATATGTGTGTTTTATTAAATACAAATTAAGAACATTTTAAATAAAAAAACTTTTTTTTTTATACAACTTAGAATGGCAAACAAGCTGACGGCCCACCGGAAAGTGGTAACCATCGCCTATAGACATGAGCCATGGACATAACAGAGTATACTGTTTCGCCCATGATACCCCCCATGCGTTGCCATTCCTGAGGACTCAGGTGTTACTCCTCTGTACCCAGTAAATTCACGCCATATGTAAATAAAAAACAGTTAATTTCAAATAAATTAATAGTTTTAGTAAATGTTTATACACTGTCGGACCTATCTGAAATAACGTTCCACTGACATCTTTTTTTAATAGAATGTTCAGTCGCCGCGTTATACGTTACGTTACGTTATACGGAATAGCCGTGTTACACGAGGGATTGAAATCGCGTAATAGGAATAAGAGTATCGTGTTATAGGAGGGATTACTATATAACATAACTGCAAGCAATATTAGCTTCTTCGCTATAAGAAATATTTAATAACAGAGTTAGTTTTGTTAATTTTAAAATTGTTTCCTTAATTGTCGGTGTCCTTTTTCTTACGTGATAATATGTATATCTACAAAAAAAGTTGACTTCAGACGACGAGCAATAATGTGAGGTAACATTTTAGAGTACTGTATATAGGAGTTTTGGAAATTAACATACTACCTGTTTGAACCAGTGTGTCTTATTATTATTAGAAATATCAAGTCACTTATCACATAATAATATACACCTGTATTGTAATTTGATAATATAGATAATTCTATTTATTTAAGAAAATATCATTCGAAAATTAAATTAAGATAAAGATGTATGCTAACCCGATACATAAAATAAGCTTAGACAGACGGCAAAATAAAAATAATAAAATTTGAATTCCAATAACAACATTCATATTTAATTTGTTAGTTTGTGTACATTTTAGATTTTATTTTATCGTTAAAATGGCAAAAAAAAAAAAGAAAAGACAATTTCGTAATGGCGTTTGTTGCATTTGGTGATGATATATAAATAATAGAAACTTAAAAACTGGACTATTTTTTATTGCTTAAAAATTTTATGCAAGTCTTCTGAAGTTGCTTTACTGCGTACATTGCTATAGTTAAAGATATATTAAATATTGACTCGCAAATAACTCATTAAATATTATCTGAACAAAGATCATTGGGTCTATTAAAGATTTTATAATTTATTGCTGTTATTTTTAACCGAGATGATTCTGATTTTGATGATACGTAAAAGGGTTGACATATACTATATATATATATATATATAAAAAACCAAAGCTCCTATCATAAGATAGTAAATTCTTAAATAATAGAAGTAGATTGTCTACATAAATGTTATATTAAAATATATTGACAAGAATCTATAAATGCTGAGTATAACTCATGAAGCAAGAAAATTGTTTTATAAGATTCTGAATTATGAAAAGATATAACTATGAATGTAGCTTGTTTCATCCTTATTTCTTATAATATATACTTATTTACTATAAAAAATGCGCATGAAACATTAATATCAACATGTTACTGATTTAAAGTTTTTATTTTTTTATTTTTGCATAGTCGGGTAAAAATAAACTCATTCATCATCCTATTTGTTTTTTTTTTTTCCTAAAGATGTGTTTATATATATTTTTTTACTTTTAATAAGATGAAAATTGAATAGATCTGTCGTAATATTTAAGACGTATATTAAATAAGTATAAGTATATTAAAAGTAATATTGAAGACGTAGTTAATATTAAAAAATGCGTATTACAAATTATTTGTAGGTAAAAATTCTTTAAAAAATTATACTTGCAAATAACAATGGTATAATAATAGATTATCTAATTGTAATGTCACCTTTTAATACTTTTAACATATTATATACATATTTTTGCAGATTACTATATTATCATGAATACGTTTCAAAGCTAATCTAATTATATACTTTCAACGTCATTGTTTCATAAAGGAACAAAAAATCCGTTTATCAAATTTTGAAAATCAAATATGTGGTATCTTAGTTTTTGCATATAATCTGGCAACAAATATTCCATATTATTGTAATCCATTAAATTGATGTGTGGGGGGGGGGGGCGAGGGAATGTTAGTATATGTGTTTAACAACTCTATTGCTAACAATATGACCCTATCTAGTCGACCACCACGGGATTCACCCTGGAAAGCATCGTGGTTAATTCTTGTGGAATTCGTCGCTATGGGCTAACTGACCTGCTTTCAACCTCATCTATCATCTCTTACTGGCGCTAGACCAGCGTATACGAATAGCGTAGTCGGGGTTACCATTTCATATTCAGTTATTAAATAAATCATGAAGATCTCTCTACTGGGTACAATTTTGTGTTTTGTGCCTCTACTTACCTCTTATTAGATCCTAACACAGTGTAATTTTCTTCCAATACTTATAAACAAATGTATATTTTAAAAAATACTTATGATGAGCCAATTTTCATCATTATCATTTCAGCGTATTTCTCTAGTTGATATATAATACATAAGCCTCTTGAATGTTTTTCTATAAAAACAGTCTTTGTCATTAAACCATCTATAAAATTTTCTCGATTCAAAAGTAATTTATTTATGTATGGTATCCGATGTATTCTCCAATTTTTATATGTAAATTCTTTTTGCAGACAAGATTTATAAAAAAATTGTCACAAAAAAATAGCGAGTTTACTATTTTTTGCGAACCAGAATCTTAAATTGTCTAACGTAACTACATTAAAATGCTTAATTAAAAAAAATTGCTATAATGAGCCTGGAATGGACTTGGTAATTTTTGTAAATGGGTGAAAATGGAATAGTAACTTCGCCTGTGCTATCGATAGACGCTGGCGGGGCAGCAATGAACGATGATAGGTGATGTTGAAAGCAGATCAGTTAGCTCATCGTGACGAATTCAATAAAAAATAACCTCGATGGTGACCGGGGGTAACCGTTTAGCGGGGGGGGGGATTGTTAGTAATGAGATTTAACAGCTCCATTGCTAGCTATACACCCTATCAGGTCGACCTCCACGCGGTTCCGCCTGGAAACCGTAGTGGTTAATTCTTGTTCAATTGGTCACAATGGGTCAACTGACCCGCATTCATTTGTCACCCTTCTCTGGTACCACGAAAGCAATTATGATAGCGCAGGCGAGGATATAATTTCATCTTAACTCATTAAAAAAAAGTTTGAAGGTCAACCTGCTAGTGTATATTACTTGCAATGGGTCCTTTGGATCCTATTACTAACAATACCTTTCGCCCCGGATTTGGTCATTGGTGTGTAATAAACGCATAATGGTCAGCATGCATAATTACGTCTACAATAGATATTCAACATCGCATCATTATGCGTATCATTATCAGTATAATAATTATCACATTCGTCAGTAAACAAATACGTATAAAATATGAGTAGTAAAATAGACTTACTAAGAGACGATTCCCTTATCAAGAATTACTGGCCATAAAGTTTCCAATATTGTGGAATTTTACTTGAAAAAATGCGATACAATCATTTAAATAATAAAAATTTACATTTATAATAATAATGGATTATCATAATCGCAGTTATTATAGAGTTTTAAAATAATCGTTCTTTTTTTATCTATATGTAAGAACTCTTGTCAGTACCTTTTTTCTTTATTCATTATTAATGAAATATTGACATGTAGTAAATTGAGGTCAATAGCATGTTACTCTATAAATTTTTCGCAAATATTCTCAGAGAATGATCATATTTATTTTATGTTAATTATGAAAAATGAGTTTTTGAATACGTCCCAGTATCGATCATCCGTTGCGAAAATACATCGACACTGGGGTCGATTCTGAGATACTATTTCTCTAAACCTATCTTTAACATTGAAATTTCTATCTAGTGTCATAACAAAATCTTTTCCAAGGACCAGTATTAATTTAATATTTTTTACACTTAGGTCAAATTTATATTTGTTAATTCAAAATTATTTAAATTTAAGTTAAGTCAAATTTATATAAATTTAATTTATAATAATACAATCTTAAATACAGTAATTTTGCAAAATTAAAAGTATCAAATAAAAATGTATTAATGTGTTAGGTTTAGAGAAATGGCGGTTCTGAATCGACCGTACTGATACCAAAAATAAAATTTAAATATATTAGAATTAACTAATTTTCTTAATTTGTCTGTATTTTTAATGTACAAATTCGATTATTACGTCGGTTCCAAACAAATAATTGCAATCATCATCATCAGAAAAATTATGATGATGATTCAAAAAATACTTCCTGATTTGTTGTATGTATTCTGAGAACTATGAATACATTTTCCTTATTTAGTATTAATTTCCGTATTCATTAGGTATCTATAATAGATTAGATTATTAATTAAAACTTGACCGAAAACTTGATAACAAATTTTACAGGTAAATATTTTTCATTAAATACAACAAGACGATGGGTTTACTAAAGGTATGTGTGTTTAATAATAACATTATTATATAGAGATGGCAAATTAATTCTTTTGGATATAAAATTTTCAACGTTACTAGTATAGTAATTTCATCCATCATTTAGTTAAAGTTAATTATATTCTTTACGTTACTTTTATACAATATTTTTATACTAATCACGTGATAAAAGCCGCGGGTTAAAACTCGTATATACTTGTGTCATATAGGTGCATACGACAGTCAATTTTAAAATTTATAAGTATTTGACATAATTTATCAGAATGTTTGTAACATATAAATAAGACAATTAAAGGACACGCATACTTGTATTTAAATCGTAAATGATACAATTTTCAAAATAAAGATCATTATTTTAATAATCCTTACTTGGTCTTTACTAATATTATAAAATGCGAAAGTAAATTTCGTTGCTTTTTGGCATCTTAACTGTATCAATATATCTCGGTCACATGGATGAGGGCGCGGTTAAAATCTAGTAGGAAAATAGATGATTATCTATAATAAAAAGTACCTACTTAACACTGATGCAGATATGTCAGTATGTATGTATCTTTTGTATATCGGTACGTATAGGGTAGTTAGTCTGTTGCTCTATTTGTCTTATAAGATCAAAGGCGACTTTTTTGGCACATAGATGGCTGGTTTTGCTATGTAACGAGCGGCGTCGCGGCCGTAGTCTGGCTCGGAATAGACGGGCGGCTGGCGCATTCGCTTACAGAAATAACGCAGACACTGCCGACCGACAGCGATGTTTTTGGAACTATATTAATATGCAAGACGAGCCATCGCACCTCGAATACCCACGCGGTGAGTCAGTTTAAGTATTCCATCGCATGGAACACGGCGTTTTTACCTGTAGTACAAAGACACGTTCAAAAGTCCTTGACCACAGTCGTTTGATGCGTTTCACCTTAACAAGTTACCCATAAGAACTGCCATTGACGATGCAGCAAATTTCTGAACATTCATATGTTCAGTAATCAACATTTTGTTTTAAATATTGTTTAAAGTATTCTGCCTTTTTCTTACTACATCTCCATCTCGTACCATCGTCGATAATTCTGTCAGAATATGGACTCAAAAAATGCAGTATTTAAAATATTGTTTAACTAGGCTCTGAGAAAGGATGTTAAAAATTTAATTTCAATAACACAACTATATTAAGTATATACTTATGGATACCAACTGGACCATGAGGAAATCGTACTTTTTACTATGTTAATTATTGTTGTGGATACACATAGGTATGTGTTTGATGCAATAGAATTATCACGTTTCTAAGATAAAAGTCTGTAATAAATAAGATTGACAAATAATATTAGATAAGTACCTATCTAAATCTGCCAAAATGGGGAAAATTTTGTATTCATGTTTGCCTACTTAGATTAGGTACACTTACATTACCACGTGAAACCGCTTAGAATAAAAAAAAAATATTTAATATATATATAAAGCTATGAAAAAGCGTTTAATCCGAATGACGGCGGTAGGCTTGCACCTTACCTCTTTTTTTTATGTAACTTAGAATGGTAAACAAGCTGACGGCCCACCTGATGGAAAGTGGTAACCGTCGCCTATAGACATGAAGTACCATGTACATAACAGCGTATTTTATTTTGCCCACGATACCCCCCATGTTTTGCCATTTAATTTCTTTCCATTCTATTTTTTTCCATTCCATTTTCAAACGTTGCATTCTAACAGGTTCAGTGAAAGGTGATCATGGTACCTGTTAAGTACTTACGTTCATTACATCGTCAACAATCCACAAATGTCTCTGACAACCCCTTTAGGGATTATAAAGTGAGCATATTTATTTAAATACAAGTGTGTTTGTGAATAATTTAAACAATTTACACTCAAGAAAGTTTCTCCGAGGAATACATTGTTGGTTAAATACCCGTTGTACCTAATAAACTCCGTAAACGTACAGGGAAATAAATATTAAAGAACAGTTAAGTCAATAATATGTAATCATTGAATATAGAGGAAAACCCATGCCACTCACGCTATCATTATAAGTAGGTACATAAAACACAAAAAGTTTAAAATATCAATAAATTTATTAATGTTTTCTTGCTGAACAGATTTTAATAAACTTTTGTAATCAAATAGATATAAAAGTCTTTAATTGGACACTCATGCTTAAATGGTGTAGCGGTTTTATACAACGCCTCACATTTCGATGATTGCAGAGTTTGATACACACATTGTATGTATGAGTATATCTATTTATATTGGTGTGGTTATTTGCTATGTATAATAATAAGTATATATTTAAAAAACAGTGCATATAGTAGTTAACTCGTACCCAAAGTCAAACAATTAGTTTGATATTACGTGGCACTGTGTAATATGTTCAGGGGTATTTATTTTTAATATATTTAGAGGTTACATTAAATCGTCTAAACGATTTTAATAAAATTTTGTAAATTTATATTGTTTGTTCTGACATGAAATATAGGTTCGTTTTTATTCCGATTAGAAAAATTTACCCAATAGATGGCGATAGAAGGTAGGGTCAGCTCAGGTCAGCTAGTGTGTATAATCTAATACGACTGTATAGTTAAGCTGTATTATAATTTAGTTGGATCAAAATATGCATTGGTTTAAGTACAAAAAAATATTACCATGCTGCCATTCTACAAGTATGATGTCACTAAAGCGATTTTATCTTTACGATAATTATACCTAATAGGGACGCAAAAGGTATGCAATTATTATTTATTATTAATAAATACGGTGACTTTTAATTTTCCTCTATTGTGAACGTGCATGGAAATTTAAGTGTCTTAAGAATAAAGAATATTTACTTTGCAAGTACTTATTTATAATTATTCTGTTTGTTAGAAGGTTTCAAAGCAGTATCGGTTTGGAAATATCATTACTGGGAGTTGGTTCTACTGGCAGGAAATATTGTGCAACCATTAATAATTTTTCATGACGAGTTGCATACAGTGATAAAATTTAGCAGCTGGTGGCAATCCAAACATGATTGAGCTTAGAATAATGTTTTTGAAGTGTTTATTTGTGTGTACACAAACACTCAAAACAGAACACTCAAGGTAGGTAAATAAGTACGTGCCTACTTTACGTGAATATGCAGATTTATCCTTCTAGAATTTGATATTTACCTAATAACAATCATCGTTCGTATGCTTGTTTTTTCCATTTTGGTTTTCTTCCACTCCAAGTTTCACAGCTTTTGAGTATTTATGAAGAACCAAGGAGTCCTTTTGCCTATACAATTAACACTATACGTTACAGCAGGCTCCATTGTTTTATCTAAATTACATTTAATTTTTAATTATATTTACGATTAAATTTAAATAATAGAACTGTACGCGACACTTTATTTATATTTGTCTATCTATATTTACACTATAGAATGTTTTAATTTAATTCTAAAATGTAGGATGGAGAATAAGTAATTCCAAGCGGCGGTGTAATAATGAAGGTTACATGGTGGTGAGTCAACGCTAAGGTGGAATTAATTAACGATTGTCGGTGCGGTGCATAGACGCAACGTCCTTGCAAGGCTATTGCAGCGATCACGTGCCCCGCTCATATTAGTACTTCGACGCCCGCTCCTTTAATGGTCGCTGTTTGCGAAATACTTTTCAACTCAAGACGGCATTTTCAATTGAAATACATACTTTTTTCACTGTAAAGGATATGGGAAATGTAAATTCGTTAACTTATCAAGAATAGAAAATATCATGTACTTGCTTGCCTAATTACTTGCCCTTATAGTAGTAAATTAGGTTGTTCTTTGCTTGTATTTACGTTTAAATCGCCTAACTGAACATAAGACGATAAATAGAGGAATGGGCTTACTTTTTGCAACATTGTAGCATTTTAGCTGGCAAAATAATTAATTCCTTTATCTAATAATTATGTAATTTGTGAAACAAATACAAATTTCTTGCATTTTACGTATTTCAGACTATATTTTCAAATGATATTTGACAATTCCTATGTCTTATAATTATATAAAATGCGAAATAAATAGGATTTCTTGCATTTTGTTTCAGATCATCTTTTCAAGTGATACTTGAAAAGGCGAAATCATAAACGACCCTTTTCTTATTAGATTGCATCATAAGTGGACTTATTATTAACTGGAAACAGTAATATGAAAGTATAGGTCTTTTGTTTAGTTTTCACTCCTAATCTAAACCTACTATATGGTAATCCTTAACGACCGGAGTGTCCACCCACAATCGATTCGCTCTGGGCGCAAATTATAGCGGCGTCGCTTGCGCGTAGCGAATTATCGGCGCCGACCCTACCATAAACGTCTTTGAATCAAGAATAGAGACTTGCTAGTATACAAATAAGGACTTGTAAACGTTTATATTACCGTGAAAACATTTAATGAGTGCTCTATTTAAGTTATTTTAAAGAGACTAAACAAGGGTATGCACACTAAAAGAATTAAATAGGTGTAAAAAAATAAAATGTTTCGAACACAGAGATTGTTTGCTTAGATCGCTATGAAAGAAGGTTCTTTGCAGTTTAAAAACTAGATACCTACAGATATGAGTATATATATATATATATATATATATATATATGCATTCAATGCAGTATGGAATTTGAATGTAATACTACCTATATTATGGACGGGCGTGGGCGCCACTGACTCAGAGACACTCCCAACTTGAGTGGAGTCGACCTACTCACAAGATACCCCTGTATTAACATAGTATGAATATACATAAATACGTGTACAATATGATTATCATTTTTATATCACTGATCCCTAATGGCAAACAACAACAACATGGCGCTCACATGATGGAAACTGGACGTCACAGATTGTACTATCGCACTTATAGATAAAATAATATCTAACGCCCACCATTTTATTATTACTTTACCTTCCTGTTTGGTTTCCACTTCTGAGGATTTCATAGTACCTTATTCCTATCGTGCTGTTTATATTTGTAAGAGACAGTTACCACTTCCCATCAAGCCACTTTGTTTTTCATTTCTGGTTTATGAAAAAAATGTTATGTACAGGAATGCTAATGTGAAATACAATCTTCGATAATTTGCCTAACTACCAGTGTTTGGCTAAAACTCACATCACTTGTATGTAAGTGATTTATAAAATATTTAGAATATTACGATTTAGAATAGACGATTTAAAAATTTCAGATTGAATCGAGATGGACTCTATTATGAAAATAGAAGATTTACAGCGAGACATGTTTTTCGAGAAAAACATCTTTCTTTGTATCGTTTTCTTCTATATTTACATAACATAATTTACATAAGTGTACACATAATTAATATATTTTAATATCTTATAACTTAGAACTCTCGCCAATTCTTTGTTTACTGCTGCTATCGCACTGTTATAGTAGGTCAAACGATAACAACTGTTATATCGAATGTAAACACTTCTCATATTTAACATTATTTTACATAGCTTTCCAATTCGATGCCCCGTTCTTTACTTGCCACGTATTGTATATATCCAAATATTTTTAAATTATTTTAAAATTTAAATTCAGCCCTAAAGATTAAGTACCAATTATTTATTATATAATTACGTTGGACGTAACTATACAGTCTATCTGATATTTGCGATTTACCGAGTTTGTGTGCAAACTGCTTAGTTATACAAATAAATCCGACACAATAGATGAATTATTTACAATACAAAATTCATGTGAAAAAGTGCATAGACGAACAACGACTGCAGTAGGGAGTCGAATATAATTTATTGATAAACTCAAACGGATTCTACCGATTAATGTTGAAGTACAATAGCCTAATATTTCAATCATTGAAATATTATACCTCTATGGTTTTTGCTGGGATTTCTTTTCGCACTGCCTCACCTAAGTGTGATAAAGTCATATTGGTCAAAATCTCCACTCTCGTCATTTGTCCAAGGGAACAAATCACAGGAGCTGTACTCCAGTTAATGTTTTTAACAGCTTCTTTATTACGTATAATCTAATTATTGGTATATAGTTTGTATAATATTAAATCATATTTATCCTACCTACACTATTATTAGTAATAAGTACTATTCTAAAAATAGAATGTTTTCATAAAAAATATTTATTTTATATTATCTAATATTCAATGTTCATTGCCTCAGAGGTAACAATTATTAACTAAATTAACTTCTAGTTATTCCTAGAAATATAGATATTAACTACACAGTGGACAACTTATAATGAATATTGAAAAAATCTGTTTACATCCTTTACTGCTAAATGTATTGCGTGATGACATCAGCCGTTGTGGAGGAATGTTGGCACATGTAGTTAGTACACAAACTCGAGTCATGTGCTGAATCATATGTGCAGAATATTGCAAGTTCATCATAGCTTTTTTTTACTATTTTTATAGTTCCGTACCTCCAAAGGAAAATAACGGAACACTTATAGGATCACTTCGTTGTCTGTCCGTCCGTCCGCCTGTCAAGACCCTTTTTCATAGGAGTGCGTGGAGGTATCAAGTTGAAATTAATATTAAATACCCAGATCTGCAATCTGTTAAAGCAGTGAAAAAATCAAGCTTCTAAATCGATGCGGTCGTTTATGTTCCATTTATATAGCATATTTTGACGTTTGCAAAGGGAATCAAAACCTGTAAGGTACTTCCTGTCGACCTAGAATCATGAAATTTGGCAAGAAGCATTATCATGTAAAGGGAAAAAACCGAAAACCGTAAATTGGAATTATTTCACAAAAACAATAATTTGAACTTGATAATTTTGTACTGAACCTTCGTTGTACGAGTCCGACTCGCACTTGACCGGCTTTTTTATTTTAATTATTCCAACTTAGGATAAAATGTAGCTGTTTCAGTTTCATGTTTCTACCACTGAAAGCGGTTCAGAGGTTTAAGCGACATTGAATATCAGATATCCAAACATCTTTACACTCCATTTTATTTACAATATTAGCAGCTTTTTTTTTGGTATGTTATTTCTATGGTAACCCCGCCTGCGCTAACGGGATACGCTGGCGGAGCACCAGTGAAGGGTGATAGATGAGAATGAAAACAGGCCAGTTAGCCCATCATGATGAATTCATCAGGAATTAACCATGATAGTTTCCAGGGAGAACCGCGAGAAGGTCCACCTGGTTAGGTATATTGCTAGCAATGGGATTCTCAGTCTCCATTACTAACGATCCCTTTCCCTCCTATTAGCAGGATTAAAATATTATGTAATAAATATGAGTTTTCCCTGTAATATCAATTACTTCAAACTATATGATGTCAATCCCAAAAATTTGTGGGATAAGCATCAACTTGTTTGAATAAACATTAGGGTATTATAGAGATATTTCAAAAAGTGTAGAAGCGGATTACTTTGATCTACTAAACTCTAACGGTGTAATGTGCTTCTGGGGAGATTGTATGTCTTTTTATGGTCTTCATGATGTCATCACATCAAGATGTGTAATGCATTTGATTGTGATATTAGTTGACATCAACTGAATATTATTTCGAGTGAAATTTAGTTAATCAGATTTTTTTTTATACAACTTAAAATGGCAAACAAGCTGACGGCCCACCTGATGGAAAGTGGTAACCGTCGCCTATAGACATGAGCAGTAACATGGACATAACAGAGTATACTGTTTCGCCCATGATACCCCCCATGCGTTGCCATTCCTGAGGACTCAGATGTTATTCCTCTGTACCCTGTAAATTCACGCCATATCCCACACTTCAAACCGAAACACAGCTATGCAAACAACTGCTTCACGGTAGAAACACGAATGGGATAGAGGTACCCAAGCAATCGACTTTTGTACAAAGTCTCTCTCTGGTAAATGCCTTAGAATTAAACTTTTGGAGTAGGTTTATTTTACAATTATTAGTTGTTAAGGTATCAAGAAGAAAGATGGAGAAAGAGACAAAGACGAAATAGACCTGATCTATTGAGCGCAAGTGGAAAGGTGGAAATACGAAAGAAGCCTAGATTGTTCTACCAAGATTAGATACATCTATCTACTATTTATAAAGATGGTGCGCATCTATGAGACAACTTTTGATAGTTTAGCAAAAGATGTGTGTAACGATAGGAACTTTTAACTTTTACTTTAAAGATAAAACTGAAGCGTAGATTGGACTGGGTGGGTATTACAGTAATAAACCTTTAGGATGTGGATTGTTTGAAAAAAAATTGTTTCTATGAAACTTGAAAACTGATATTATATAATTATCAATGACTTAATGTATCAGTTTCATTTTCTTAATGATCAGTGGCAAGCGAATATATGGGCCAAGCGACGGCTTCCGCAACAGCATACTTGCGCAGGCGCTGTGTTGCAACCGCTTGGTTCCACAATGCGCGCTTTCACTATAAATGGGCACACAGACGTTTAGTATAAATATTGGCACATTTAGTATGTAGGTTCCGTCACGGATTATATATAGGATCCTTATCTGTGTATGTTAATATTAATAGTAATATTATTTTATTATTTGTGAAAGATTCTGTATTTAATTTTGGACAATCTTGCACTAGTAACCATGTAACGTCCCATATTTTACTGTAAAAACTTATTAATGTTCCTTAGCTACGGCTAGGATATTATTTTGGGCTTCCGTTTTTTATAAATAAATTTTATTGTATATTTGACCAAATAAGATGACATGATCGGAATCATAGTAACCAACAAACATTTCAGTGTTGCGTGTATGATTAGAGTTACGTGGCCAGAGATATAATTTTAAATTAAAAATAGACATGTTTACAATTTGCTCCTATCTTGCCGATCGATCCTTACTTTGATATGCTATTTTTATATTGCAGTTAGAAAGATAAATTATTCAATGTTTACAATACCATGTTTCATTCAATGTCCTCACGTGGGATAGTGAGTAATGGTCACAAGAATGTTTAAACAATACCTTATTCTATACCCAACATGGACGTCTGGCCGGCGCCGATGACTCGCCTTGCATATCTACCAGTCTACCATGGCAGATAACATGCCTCCTGTGTGGATACTGGATACTACAGTCTATTTTGCAACAGTATAAAATATGATGAATTACACACAGAAAACCTTTGAAAAGAAATTGAAAATGATCTCAAGTAATTTGATTTTAGTAAAAGATAGATAGGTATATATGTATTAAGTCTTTACTATCGCACTTAAATCATAGAAACAAATGGGACAGAGCAATGTAACTATTATTGACCTTATTTTTGTATTTATATTATTACATAAAAAATAAATTAATTCATTGATCAATCATTAGCATATTTAATATTATTTTTCTTTTGGGTCCTTAAAAGAAGCCCATATGTAGATATCTTAGACGTGACTGCTTATAGACAAAAGCTCCGTGAC